GTGTAATCACAGGTTATTGATTTGAAAGGCTTCATTTAATATCAGTACAACGCCCAAAGGCAATACTTAAAAGACTCTAAATTAACGTTGGACCAATCAGCTTGAAAGAATAACACATTTGGGCGTGGTTTGCGTTAACCGTTCTGAAAAGTAACATTTTTTCACCTGAAATATTTTCTTGCTTGAACTTAAATTTGAAAGAGAAAAACAAATTAGATTGTTGAGAAAGCAAGACTCCAAAAACAAACTAACGCAAAGGAAGTCTATCTCATGGTATGCTATTAAGTTATCACTTTTTTGGTCGTCTGTGTTTGTTTGTTTGTTTGTTTGTTTCGGGTGTGATTAGAAAAACATAGCATTGAATTCACTAGCTATTGATTTTTCTAAATTAACGTTGGACCAATCAGCTTGAAGTAATAACACATTTGGGCGTGGTTTGCGTTAACCGTTCTGAAAAACAACATTTTTTAACCTGAAATATGTTCTCGCTTGAACTTAAATTTGAGAGAGAAAAACAAATTAGATTGTTGATAGAGCAAGACTCCGAAAACAAACTAACGCAAAGGAAGTATCTCTCAGTGGTATGCTATTAAGGTGTTACTTTTTTGGTCGTGTGTGTGATGTTTGTTTGTTTTGGGTGTGGTTAGAAAAACATGGCATTGAATTCAATAGCTATTGATTTGTAAGGCTTTAAGATTATCAATGTAAAGATGGGGAGGAATTTTAATTTGGAATTGAACAAATAAAAGGTGATCGCCACAGAAAGATCCAAAACAACTTGGAAGCTAATCCTTGGAGTTGATCCAAACATGGAGAAATCAAAGGAAAGGACCAAATACGACGAGGATTACACTGTTGTTCAAGAGGAATTAAGTCTCTCAATTATGAAACTCTCCAACGAGGAAAAATCGGGCAGTAATGAAATCAGTGTAAGTGGTTTTCAGCCTTTACCGAGTCCCTCAAGTCTGTTCAGTCTGCTTCGCCTATCTGGTTCAGAAAGAGATGACATTGAAAGCCTTTGTCCCCTTACTCCGCGCGATCGAGTGTTTTCGCCCGGTGTGAACCTTCAGTGTGAGTTAGAAGAAAGCAATACATGGGATGCAACATGCATAGAAGAAGTGATGATCAAATACACATCTGAAGAGCAGGTGACCGCTGAAAAGCCACTGAAAACAAGCAAAAAGGAGAACTCACGATATCCAGAAAATAAAGACTCCCAGCAGTTAAATGGTGTACAGATGCCTTTTTCAATCCCGCCAACAAGTCATCTTGCTTTGCGCAGAAAACTCAAACGCCAAGCTTCGTGTCAACTGCCTGATGAAAAGCCCGAAGAAAGCGAGAGCACCGCGGAATCTTCCACACACCGCCTACTATATCCGGGACCAAAAAGCCCTAAAATTAATGCGTGCTCCTCTTTACCTCTCGAGTCCGTCAGAAAGTCCCGCGAGTCAACAACCCGCAAGGTTAAGCAGCCGCCCCCCGACCGCAATCTGCTTCCGAGGAGCCCGACGGTTAACCGTTTTCGGTTTCCGAGGACGTTACGCGTTCCGCGAAGATCCACGCGGGATACTCTCACGAGGCCAATCGGTGGCCTAAGCAAGCCCCCTCAGACCCCGCCGGCAATAAAGAACAATTCAAGCTCAAGGCAGCAAATCATCCATCAATCTGGGCAGCGGAAAGTATCACGTTATCACGTGGGTTCCTCGTGTTCAGCACCTGGGCTGTGGGGCCCGAAGCCACAGCGCCCTCCTACCTCCCCCAGGTCTAACGCAGCTAAAATTGGAAAGCTGTTACGTCAGAGGGCAGTTGGACAGAGCGGATCGTGTGTTCTGGGCAAAGTGCTGGTGGGTAAAACAAAAGGCGGGAGGGTTTTTGTCCTGCCAGCTATTCCTTTAGAGCATCTCCGTAACAAAGGCTTCACTTTACTCCCGGACTCGTCTGTAAAGAAGGATTTGGAGAGAACTAGCTCTGCTCCTCATCCACCCTCAGGCAAAAGTTGTCTGCTGCCTCCCCTCCCTCAGGCCCAGAGAAAACGCACCGTGTCAAAGACAAGAAGTGCTCCTCTTCCTGACTCCAGCCGGAAAGAGAGTGCATCTTGGCCAGGTCCATCATCTGCTGAAGCTGGTTATGGAAGGAAGCAAGGTCAAAAAAAGATTCCTTGATTCGCCAAAGAACTTGACGGGAGGGGGGGACTGACTCACTAGCTTTTTTAGCAGCATATATTATGAAGTTAGTAGGCCATTTCCGAATTTAAAAAACCCTCACTTTCAAAACGAGGCTAAGTGCAAGACCTTTGTTGTGAAAATGAGTATATAATAGCGGAGATAATACGGGGAAGTTCCGCCTGAAAGGGGTACCTTTCTCAGGTTTCAGGTACATGAAAGGGTAGGGATAAGCACGCAAGTCTCTGTTCGATTCTTAGGGGCTTTTTATATGCTACCGGAATGACTTTCATTCCGGAATGAGATTCGTTCCAGAGCAGTGAAGTTCATTGACACATTCAGTTTTAAATTGAAGGAACAACTCTTTACTTTTCACAAACAGTACAAACATCCAGGTACTTTTGCTAACCGTATATACGAAGAGCTTTCTTACCCCAAAAATCAGGAAGTAAAAAGAAGTACCATCCTCGCACGCAAACATTTTTTTAAAAAAACTGAAATGAAGTTTGTATGTGACATATTATGCCAATCTGTCCGGGACTTTCCACTGTCACTGATAATCACCAAGTCTCGATCGGAGGAGAATTGGCTTGGACTACTGACACTTAGGTGCGATGGGATCGACTCGTACTGTCCAAGCATTGTAATGGTAAAATACCGACAGAGTCATGGCTTTCTCCGTAATACGTGAGACAAAGGGTCAATAGGGATATGGGTAGCCCTCTAAAAAGGCTCCAATAATAACTTTTAAATGACACATGTCTAAGACTCACGGCAGTGGATTCTAGAGCAACAATTCGTGCATGAATTCGCTTATTATCTCCGACAGCCTAACGGGTTGCATTAACAGGCACAGTTAACAGACAATATGTAACGTCGAACAGNGGGGGGGTGGGTGGGGGACTGACTCATTAGCTTTTTTTAGCAGCATATATTATGAAGTCATTAGGCCATTTCCCAGTTTATAACACCCCTCACTTTCAAAACGAGGTTAAGTGCAAAACCTTTGTTGTGAAAATGAGTATATAATAGAGAGATTACGATTCATGTTTACGGCAAACTGCAAACGTCAGATTCAAGTTGAGAATTTCTCAGAATAGAAATAAGCAGATAAAAACAGTCCAGAACGATCCTTACGGATAAAACTGGCATAAAACTACTTATTCTCGTGTAGAAGCAATAAGCAGTAAACGAAAAATAAGGGGAAAACTTGGTCACGTGGTACAAATTCACGCAAACGCGAATCTTAATCTCTCTAATAGTGGGGATAATACGGAGCGGTTCCGCCTGAAAAGGGCACCTTTCTCAGGTTTCAGGTATATGGAAGGGTAGGGATAAGCACGCAAGTCTCTGTTCGATTCTAAGAGGCTTTTTACATGCTACCGGAATGACTTTCATTCGGGAATGAGATTCGTTCCAGAGTGAAGTTCGTATTGCATTCACACGAAAAATTACAAGGAGTCAGCCTAAGGCGTTCTCTCGCGCCAGATCAGATACCCATGCGCCACTCGCCTTAGACTACACGATATAAACACGATTTACGACTTCCAATACGGAACGAAGTTTGTTTTCAGTTTACATGATACCAGAATGAAATTTCGAACCAGAGCGAGAACTTCATTCGGATTGAAAACCGGGATGATTTCAATCCGGAATGACTTGTACGGGAACGAAATTTCGTTTCGGTATCATGTAAACAAATACAGAGAAATATATGGAAATGATATGAACTCGTTCCAGAATGAAAGTCATTCCGGTATCGTGCTAATAGCCCCTAAAGCAGCACAGACCGCTAGCTAAAGAACTGAAACATTTAGTCCCGGGGGGGAGGGAGTACTTGGGTTAATTTTTTGCTGGGTATGTGCTGCTGGCATGTCAGAGCCCCTACCCCATTATAGTCTATTCTGTAGCCAATTATAGACCCCATCTTAGTCACTTTTGGGCAAATAAAATGTTCACGATCCCAACTTAGTCACTTTTCTATTCATGTATCTGCCTTATTAATCCTTTAAATAGGTCATCTTAGAGCGGTTTTCATTTGAGTGTCGAAAAGTAATTGGTTTTGCACTTTCTACACGATGCGATTGGCTTAAAAGATTCGCGCCACCTTTTCATCCAATCAGAAGTAAAACCAAAGCCAATTGTGACGCGCTCGCATGCATTTTCCCGCGCTTTGCGTCAGCCACATGTAATTACTTCGAGTTTTGATTGGTTCAATGTATTGTCTGTGTCCTATGTGATTGGCCAGAGTAATTACTTTGGTTTTGGTTTTACGACACTCAAACGAAAACCACTCTAAAATGAATTGACACATTCAGTTTTAAATTGAATGAAGAACACTTTACTTTTCACCTACAGTACAAACATCCTGGTACGTTTGCTAACCAGTGTCTTACCTTACAAACACGAAAATGTGCGACCCCATTCTAGTAACTCTATTGAAAATGCGACCCCATTATAATCAATCCAGTCGTGAAAATGTGACCCCATCCAGCGGCACATCGCCATTAACCAATTATAAGGAAGTAACCCCCAGGGAATTTACTATATATAATAAAGCAGCATATGGTAGCTAAAGAACTGTAAACAGGTTATCGTTTTAAATGTAACATGTTTTCCTCTTTAATGTAAGTCAAATTACATCGACTTTGTTTAACTATAATAAAACTGTACTTAATGTACGTTAAAATCGCCTAATCATTCCATCCTTTTGGCTGGTAAGGAGAATTCGTTGGTTGCAATAAGAAAAACGCTATATACTGTAAATTAAATTGGAAAAATACTCTTAAATGTAAATGATTTCACGTGATCCCACGTCAGTTTCTTAATTACGTGATGTTACGAGCCGTCCCTCTCTCGGGCTCTTTTAATGCGAAGACTTCTTCTGACAGGTTCTTTCTGTTTAGAGAAAGAAAACATAACATTTGTCATGCTACAAACGACATTCCCGTATATTTTGTGGTTCAACTCTATCCTTGCTTTGAATTTTCATTTCGGTTGTTTTTGGGCGTGGTAATGTCTGATAGTCAGGTTCGGATATATTTAACATAAAAAGGATAAGTAAATAAAAATTAATAATAATAATAATAATAATAATAATAATAATAATAATAATAATAATAATAATAATAATAAAATGTGAACTTCTCCCTCCACAACCAAGGCAACCTTGTTTGTTATTTCTCGCAGGTATCTTGTCAAAGAGCATCACTGTCTAGGGAGGGTAAGTGGGGGATGAAAAATTTACTTTAATGGATCCATTAAAGAGTCTGAAAACCTGCCCGCCTAATCCTCCCCTAATCCAACATTTTGCTCTAAAAGTGAGTATAAACATTGGTTTAAGGAAAGGGGTAGCTCGGCAGTTTCCCAAAAGCTTATACAGTCAAAATTCCATGCGTGACCACCTCTCTTGAGTGACCACTTCCCATAACCGACCACCTATCCATACCAACAAAATTTTCCCAGTCAAATCTTAATTCCGTAAACCCGCCATTAAGCCCCCCAGAGCAGGGGGATTACTTACTTCAGGCCATTTGAGAGAGGGGGAGGCTTATTTGAGACAAGGGGCTTATTTAATTTAATAAAGAACTATAATGCAAAGTGAAAAAGCTCAAATACAAGAAGTTGGAGGTGATGCAGCTGAAGATCAAAGAACAAATCCGACCTTCCAGTTGGTAAATAAACCAGGAGAGGACGGAGGGCTTAACAAAGAGGGGGGTGGGGGGTATTAAATTTCTTCCCCTGAAAAAGGGGGGGGGGCTTATTTGAGAGGGAGGAACTTAATAGAGAATTTATGGTAATTAAAACTGCTCATCAAAGACCAACTCTCATAAGTGACTGTGCCCAAGTGCATCAGCTATTAATTTTTGACACCTATTGTAGCTGGTATTCTGTTATCTGTGAATGTTGAAAGCTTCCTTCTTTTCAGATTGGATTTAGTAATGTCTTCGTGTTTTTCCATATTACAAATAATGTGTCCCTTGAAAAAATGTTTTAAAATTTCTCAACAATGTTGTTGAAATTGTTTGGTATATGACTACTGCAAACTATAATAAGTTCTAAAACAATCACCTTCGACACTGGTGTTTTGGTTTTGCACTGTTTCTTAATGACCTTTTTCTTGCTGTTCTCTGCCACAAAGGAAAATAGCAAACAATAATGTTAAAGCTAAGAGGTATTATAGTACTGTTATTTCAGGGAACAATAAAATAATTTTGAATAACTAGTTTTGCCATCTATAATAATTATTGTTTCCACAAGTTGAATTAATTTGGAAAGTTTTTATAAGCTCATTTCTTAACTTGGGTAATCGCGCCAACTTGAATGTGATGTTCACAGTAAACTTGATTCTTAATCTCTCTATCAACAAATCCCAAGCACTGTAAGCAAGCAACAAGCTGGGACTGCTTTTTCAAGTTTTCCCTCATGTAACTCATTTAAATCTATGCAAACTTTATCCATCCATGCTTTTTGGCTTTTTGCTAAAAACTTAGCAAGTGAAGAGGCTCGCTGTCTGCCTCCTAGCTTTCTCTGTTCTCTACTCCACAAGAGAGCCAGCTCACAGGCCTTTCATATCAATTTTATCTTATATGTTTTTCTACAGTTTGCAGATATTCTGTGATTGTTTGATATAAGTGCTGAAATTGTATAAAATAACCCGACTTAGTCCTTTTGCTACATCCATGATCCGTGGTGACTGTTATATGACAAACCTTTTTTCTTTGTTTTAACTGGTGCTGCTTTTGTTTTCTTTTTCTTAGGAGAAGACTGCTCCTGTAACAACATAACACATTTGCCTGTCAGACAGTTTACAAATAAAGTGCAAGCAACTCTAAACTATAGCACTGAACAATAGATCTTTCATTGACAAAGCTGCAAATGTAAAAATAAAGGATGTAACTATGTCACTATTTTGGTTGGATTCAATTAATCAAGGATAAATTACACTTCTTTAATGAAAATTGTGCCTGATAGATGAAGGATTTCCAGGCAGAATGAGTGGTACCTTTGCACAAGTCCTATCTGATATTGTTACATATAAAACTATTAACCTACCACTTTGATGTTTGTATCATTGTCTTGTTCTCCACTGTCTTCTTTTCTCTTCCTCTTCCTAGATTTCTGCATCCCTCTTGATTTTGCCTCTAGACATAATCAATCAATTTAATTCTTGTAAAAGCCTTGAAGATAGGCTGAAAACCTGTTTTTCTTAAAAATGTTGTTCTAATAAAACTTAATATGCCCTTTCAGTAGGATTTAATAATAATGCTCCTTCCTCTCTTATCTACTGCTCAGACATTCTAGTTCCACTCCTTTGAAATGTTCCAGTGTTAAGATCATCGTGTACGTGTATTCCCCCCGGGAAAGGGGCTCCCATATGAAAGGGGTTGCATTCAAAATTTCCAACAAGCATACCTTCCCCTTTCATATGGGTGTCTCCCCCCCCTTCACGGTGTATTCCTCCTTAAAATGAACCATTATAAATGCACTGTATTCCCCAACCCAGAAAGGACATGATGACAGATCAAGGGAAGAGAGAGTTAACCAACCATTCAACCACTGTTGACCCTTTCTTATTTTCTGGTGGCACTGGTGTGGTCCCCTCTACATTTTTTATCACCTCACATTTCGTACATATGATCGTAAGTGGTGGGGTGACAGTCGACCATAGTTAATAGACTGGAAGGCTGGGCCCCCGACTGGAATGGTTATGAAACCTGTCAGACTCCTTTGTTATATGTTTTTGTGGACCTGACAGTGTACAATGTTCGATAGCATTACTAGCATTTTAATCTTATTGACCAATAAACACGTCTCATTAATTTATTCCATCACAATTTACCACCAGAAAACAAAGGATTGTTCATATTCGGGGAGCTTCCACCATAAACTGCAGTACCATTGTTTTTATCTTTGATATTTGTTGTGTTTCATGACCAGTGTTCTCTAATAACTATGAGTAGACAAATAAATACATGAACTGATAATCAGGCAGCCAGTGGTGCCCTTGCATGCTGATGTCTGAGCTTACTGCTGAAATAATTAAGGAGGAAGACACATAGGAGTGTTCTCTGATCAACTATGACATGACCATGATTCAAATTATATCGAATCTTAAGGGTGTTCACATTAGATAACTTTGCCCTCACCTTTGGGTACCATTGGTCCAGCTTCACCCTGTCAAAAAGAAGAGAGCAAGATCATTTGTTTCCGAAACAATTTTGGAAGGAGAGATATTAAGTTGATGAAATTTATTATTGTTTGCTGTTTGTTGTAAACAAAGACATGTTTCAGCTCAAACATGTACAAGTGACTTAAAATTTAATTCAATATTAATTGAGGCTAAGTGCCAAACATTTGTGCATGAATATAAGAATTAAATATTTATATACTAATAATAATTTTTTATTATTTACATTACAAGGGAATTCTCATAAAATTACTGTCACTCATTTTGCACTTATCCCCTTTGGAAAAAATTCTAGACTAGGGCAATGGAAAACTTGGCTAATTGGAAACAGAGAAACAAATCGAATTACTCAGGTAAGCTTAAATGGCACATCAAATACTGTGTGGTACGAAATTTTTGTGGGTTCTAATTTTGCGATTTTTTTCAATGATCTGTAAAAATAAGTTCCTGCAAAAATTAACAATTTTCCCGCAAAAATTTACTCCAGAGTAAATATTCTCTAACTTAAACTCGCTACAAAAAATACTTTCTAAGAAATTGTGTCTGTTCAACTACAACTTGTCTCAAAATGACAAGCAAAACTCTGTCACTGGTTTTACATAGGGTAAGCATGCCGTAGTATTGTTTGAAAAACATCATATGCAATTATTTATTATTTCATTGCACATCCTCAATAAAAACGAAAATATTATCATTGATTTGTCTGGGACTTTCTGAAAATCGCAAAAATTAATTTCCAGCAAGAAAAACCAATCTGTCCTAATTGCAAAACTTAGTTCCCGCAAAATACATAAAATCGCCAATCTGCAAAAATAAACGTCCCGCAAAAATTTTGTGCCACACGGTTAAAGCCAGCATAAGTTTGATTTATGGAAAAGCAAAAAAAACAATGATGACCTTGAACCACATGGTCCTCCCATCATGATCAACCAGGTTTCTCATCTCAGAATTGTAGTAGCACTGAAGCCATTTGGTGAAGCCAGAGTAATCTGAATGATTTCCTGACGGGTCATAACCTTTGCCAGCTGAAAGTTGAGAAATTCAGTGAACTATAAAACAACTTAATCTACATGTATTCAAATGAACAAACTTTTGAATTCTAACAGGAAAGAATATTATTATTTTCAAGTTTTATATTTTTTACAGTGTAAAGAATATGGAAAAATATTAACTGTAAGGCCATTGAGCCTTTCCCTCGAAAACATCATTACGGCGGGATTATTTGTCATAATTCTTAATTCTGTGCCTTTGAATCTTGTAGAAAAGGCGTTATATAAATGGATTATTATTATTATTCTGCATCTGTGGATGAAATCCATAAGTTCGACCATTTAAATGAAAGCTTCGAAGCAATACTTTCCAGTGGTACTGTTTACTAAGCTTTACAAGGTGGACCTTCTGACTTCTGAATCTGTGGATGAATTCTGTGGTGTTACCATTCAAATGAAACCTCTTTTGCAGAACTTTTGCAAAGTGCTAGCTATTTGTTAAGGACTTTTTTCATGGAATTTTTTTCTTCAGCCACTTTGAGGTGTGAAAGGGTATTTAACCAAATGCTACCACACTGCAAAGGTTTTCTACTGATCACAGTAAAGCATAATATCAAGTTGCAATCAACTGTTCTCAATGAAAAGTTGTTTTGCTCAATACTGTGATTTCTCTAGTCCTTGAATAGTGAAATTTCTCTGTAATTATTACAGTAGAGAATTGATCATAAGGCAGAATTTTTAGGTTGTATTTAGCTGCTTATTAATAGAGTGGTTTTCGTTTGAGTGTTGTAAAACCAAAACCAAAGCAATTACTCTGGCCAATCACATAGGACACAGACAATACATTGAACCAATCAAAACTCGAAGTAATTACATGTGGCTGACGCAAAGCGCGGGAAAATGCATGCAAGCGCGTCACAATTGGCTTTGGTTTTACTTCTGATTGGATGAAAAGGTGGCGCGAATCTTTTAAGCCAATCGCATCGTGTAGAAAGTGCAAAACCAATTACTTTTCGACACTCAAATGAAAACTGCTCTAAGAAGATCAATTAAACACTTACGCAGATTAATAACTTCTTTGGGTACCAGATTACATAGTTCTAAGATGTCCAGACAGTTTTCATGTTTGACTTTCTTGTGATTGTGGATCTAGAAGAGAAGGAAAAAAAACAAAACAGGAGAAAAGTTGAATGTAAAATTTTATGTGCACATAATTTACTACAACTGTAAGTACAGCTGTATAGGACTGTTGTTGGAAGTGATTGATGGGTGACGTTTCAACAACCTATGTAGTACAGGGCCCGGTTCCTCTAAGGCCGATTAGTGCTAACCCAGGATTGAAATTTTGTTCCCCATACCTTCCTATGCATTGCTTAGAGTAACATTTGTGTTATCATAACTATATCTCAGAGTAAAAGCCCAAATGTATTTTGTAAGCTCGAGTTACATGTTCTTAGACAAGAAAACCATGCTTAAAAATTGGCTTAATCTTGGGTTAAACTTAACCATCTTTTGAGAAACCAGGTCCAGATCATCAGAGTTTAGGATAATTGTGCACATCAGTTGATGGAGTTAAACTCTGTTTTTTAGCGTGATTGGTCAATGAAGATCCGATATCAGAAACTCTTCCCTTACTGAACATAATTATCTCAACATGTGTAAGCATAATCACTAGTTTTAAAAGACAAACTGTAATAACAATTTATTATATATAATTGCCCCTAACATAGCACCTCTCCTCAGCCATCAGCAAAACTGGATTGAAATAACCTCTGTATATATGTCACTAATGACAAATATTAGGGATACAGTAATGAAGGTTGATTTGATCCAGGTTTCATTAAAGCTGTGTCCAATGTATATGTTACAGGTCAAATTTGATTTAAGGTTAAAAAATTTTTCAACCTAGGTTGATTCTCAATTTCCGTTGTCTTCTAGGGCTAGGAGACACTGGAAATTGAGAATCAACCTTGGTTTAATCAAAATAAACCTGAAATAAAATTTGACCTGTAAAATATGTACAGGATCCGTCCAGATTTTTGGATCCAAAATTCAAGACTTTTTCCAGACTTTTCTACAAAACAATAATTTCTTTTTCCAGACTCAAGGTTATCAGATGCTTTAGGTGATCAATAGAGACATAAAAAATGCAGGAACAAAGCTTTTTGCATGGTGTGCCGTGAACGCACAGGCAATATTGAATAAGATTTCACCAAAACAGATAATATTTCACTTCTAATTAGCACTTGTTGTAGCTTTGAATACAAGAAAAAAAACTCAAGACTTTTTACTATTTTTCCATACTTTATCTCCATTTTCCAGACTTTTTTCAGGTCTGGAAAATTGCTGGGCAAATTTCAGCACTTCCTCGAGAATTCAGGACTCTGTACAAACCCGGCATATACCTGTAACTTGCTGCATAACAAATCAAACACATCTTTCATGAAATATTTACCTCAGAAACATCATTCTCCTGCTTTATTCTCAGCTTTTCAAGTGCAGACCTCGCACAAGTAAAAGGAGGAATGCCAGATCTGATACACAAACAAACCAAAAGCATGTATTTCAGAAGCACATTAGATCTTAAAATCAAAAACCTGTACACTTGCTTAACAGCACCAATTTAATAACCAGCTCCCAGTTGACTTGTTAGCTCAATTGCTTAGAGTTCTGCCAGGTATTGCAGAAGTCAGCATTCGAATCCCGGCAAGCCTGACTTTTTTCAGGCTTTCTTTTTGCAACTGCATAAGTTGCATCCTTTACTGCAAATTATGATCTTTTTTAGCATTTTTTATTTTTTTTGTTCATTCGTCTATATGAAAATCATATTGTTACATGAGGGGGGTGAATAGGGGTAGGTAAATCCACCAACCCATTATGATTTATTAACTAAATCCACCGTTAAAATTTCACCCTTTGTCCGAAATGTGGGCAAAAATATTTTTTTTACACGCAAAGTCCAAAATCTGGGCCCAAAAGATGGATAAATCTGCACTCTGCTGTAATATTTTCAAAATCCACCGGTCCCTTGGCCTGTTCACCCCCCTCTTAACATGTATTCATCACTACAAAAAAATATATTATTCTTTTTCGTAACAGACCTAAATATTATTTCAGCTCTGAGGTAGTTTCCAATTCCATTGAAGTATTTTTGATTGTGCATGACTTCACACAGAGGCTTGTCAAAAATTTTATCTTCTAGGCTGTCAAGAATATTTGATCTAAATTCCTTATACTCAAACATAGGATCAGGGCCTCGATTTTTCGACCACTCATCTGTCAGCTCCCATCGGCCAAACCTGAAAAGAACAATAATATAAATAACATCAAAGTTTATATCAAAGTAAATTAATTTCAGATATTGAGTACTATCTAATTTTTTAAGGTACATTTTCACACTCTGCAAGTACTAAATATTAATGTTTTTATGTTATAATACATTGAGGAGGGCAAATTCACCTTCAATATGTAGTTGATAGATTTTTAGCAAATTTTGCAGTATTTTGCATGTTTTGTGAACATGGGATTTCGCAGATTTACCTGAATTTCGCAGCTCTGTGACTGCATGAAATATCAGAAGCCCTGCTCAAGGGGTACCAGAAATTTAGTTATGGCACAAATACTTTTCATCATTTTCTGTTCTAATAGTGGTCATTTTTTTACCACAACACCCGAAGTTGTACCAGTCCACAATAATTAGTCCCAGAAGATATGACAACCATACCAGTCATTTTCTACAGGGGAAACTTCACTTTCTGGCCATACAGTGTACCATATTAACCCTTTAAGTCCAAAGAGTAATCAACCTGTTATCAGGAAAAAATGGCTCTGACAGATTGAGAGGAAAAATGCCCATGTCCCATACGGACAAAAAAAATTGTGCACACCTCGCCCCATCTGCAAATAATCCTGTTGGAAGTGCCCAGGCCCCATATGGACAATCACAAATAGTCTTGCTGCCAGCCAATGCTCGCAGCATTAAAATAATTAGCCCAGGGAAAATGCTTTGATCTTTCATCAAATTCTTTCGACCAATTTTTTAAGGAACTGTAGGGAGATCAGTCTGAAGAATTAAAAATTGTATAGGGATATTGAGGGTTAGAGGGTAATTTTTCTAACTAGACATAGCCAAGCTATTCTGAAGCTGCTTCAGCAGTATTGGTACTAAGTAAAGCAAAAACCAACCTTCTAACATCCACAAAACTCAATACCATTAACGGCTTGTCTTTCGTGTAAAAGTTCAAGTGTGCATGTTTATGAATATCTTTCACAGGACCAAACGTGAACTTGCCCGACATTCCAAACCTGAAAAGAATTCTCATCCTTTCCTTTCCCCAGCCATTCTCCTGCTTGATCACCTTTGACTTGCATTCTGAGGCGAGAGAAGTTAAAACAAGCGCCATTTCTTTCCCTCTGGATTCTGCATGGATGGAGAATTCACGAGCGGGAAATGTTACATCTGGGTTCTTTGTGCTGACAGCCGATTTTACGATCTTCCCGCTAAATACAAGTCCCTTACAAACTCTATTCACCATCTGAGCGTTTTTGTAAAGTTCTGGTCCCTCTGGCATTTTTAAATCCTCAAGCAGTAGTAAATAAATTCAGAAGTTTCTGCAAATGTGCTACAAAATCATTCCAAGACCATTGCATAACAATCAAAACTGCCAGGCGTTCTTGACAATGGTGCCTTGTCTCTTCTTACCGGGCCCTTTTGTCCCGACTCCCGGATACTCCCGTAAGGATATTTTCGGGCCAAAATACGTTGCGGGATTCGGGAAAACGAAAAATATCTTGACGGAATAGGAGAGGGATTCAATTCAATTTGGGCACGGGATGCAGGATTTTTTGCCTGTCAGTGTCGGGAATTCGGGAAATCTCCCTCTTTTCCCATCAAACTGAGGTATAAAAGGCCTTTTTTACAGTGCCTTAAAACACACGTAAATTCAAAATATCAGTCGAAAGGGCCAATCTAAAAAAACACCTTGTACAGCTTAATAAACAGTAGCACTGGAAAGTACTGCTCAGCAGCTTTCATTTAAATGGTCACACTTTAGGATTTCATCCACAGACTCAAAAGTTAGAACCACCTTGTACAGCATAATAAACAGTACCACTTCAAGGTTTGCTTAGAAGCTTTCATTTAATGGTCAAACTTAAGGATTTCATCCACAGATGAAGAAGTAAGAATTATGACAAATAATCCCACCGTGATGATGTTTTGGAGAGAAGGGCTCAATGGCCTTACTAGCTTTTACAGCAATTGGTCTTTTTTATAAACTTTATAAACTTAAGTATTTTGGAAACAAAAAACGGGATTCGGGAAGCAATGAAAAAAAGTGCGGGATGTGAGTGAGATTTTCGTCAAAAAGGAGCGGGAAAGCGGTATTACAAGGTCTTAAAACTTTCTTATGTCCGTGAAAATATTTAGATTTTTTATGAGTGAAAGGCCAAGAAAAACCTCCAAATCACAACAGTTAATATTAATTTATACAACAGTTAACATTAACTTTTGGACTAAATTTCCACTTAATAACCGTCAACCGTCAAAAGCTCTAAACTTTAGCCGTCAATTAGAGTGTCAAAGCTACCACCCCATTGAGACCTTCCTAAAATACTGCATGTTCGGATTCCTGGTCGACAAGTATATAAACGACTGCAACGGTGAAACAAATAATGACANGGGGGGGGGGGGGTGCTTATATTTGGAGGGGCTTATACGTGGAGGGGCTTATTTTCGGAATTTTACGGTATATGAAAGGGTAGAAAAATCTTTCATTTCGGTCTGAAAGGGCCAAAAAATGCAATTTTTGGCCACGAAAAAGTCTAGGAAACATTCTGGTTTTGTGATTTATTCATATTTTAAATACAGTTCCTTCACAGCAGTTGAAATGGGAATCAAAGTTCTAAACTAGGTATGTGAAAGCTAAGGGATTCAATTTGTCAATAGAGGGTGTACGAAAGGGGTTCCTTGTCTGTCAAAAATGGTATATTTACTCAAATTTTGTTAAGTATCCCCCCCCCCCTCCCTCGCGAAAAATACCTTCGCATTGCAAATGATTGTATTCATAAAGGCTTATTTCCTGTTTTTCCAAGTGGTTTTAACTTTAGGAGTTTATTTATCAAAACCAGTGTGTGACAATTCCGATCGCGATGTTCATTTTGTTATTTCTGTCTTATACACGTGCGTAAAACGCTGATGTACATGTCAGAATATTCGAGAAGATTATTCCCAAATCATCATGTCAAAAGGCTGTCAAAGAACTTGAAAACTTTTCAGGAAGATTGTCAACTAAACATGAAACGTGTCTGACCGCAATTAATTATCAGGTATGCAAAACAAACAACAGCATGTGCCGGTAAAGAATTAATAAAAAAAGACTTTGTATCGGGCGAGGGATAATTCTTAAGTTCGATTGCAGGCTTTGCAGAAGTCATGTACTATGTGATATTTAAATTTATCTGCCCAGTGTGCCGATGTCGTGCACAGAAAAGAATTACAGATATTTCCCGGGCAATAATAACAGGATATTTTGGAATCTCGTACGAAAAGTCGAACAATAGCGCCACCCGCTTTTCGCGCCATGCGGACTCGCTGTTGAATCACGCATTTGATTGGCTTGTTTGAAAAACCATCATGGCGATCGAAGACGAAGCCCGGTGAAATAAAATTTATCTTTTGGAAGCATTTATAATAAAGTGGCGCCAATGAAAAGCAACAAAGTTGGTGAATTAAAACAAAGACCGCGGTTTAGGGAGGTTCAGATTCTTTACTAGGGCGGTTACTTGAACAGCATGAGTAATTCTGGGGTTAAGTACAAGAGGTGAGAAGGCAGCTATTTTTGAAGAAAGTGTCTCACATATACTGGACTGTGCGCCTTTTTGTTTTCCTTCAGCTTTCTTCTGGGGGTTCAGTGTAATTCATGGTGTACAGAAAGGCAGAATTTAAGCCTAATAAAACTTTTACAGGCTTTGCCTGATCACCGTGACGAGAAATGTTAAAAGCTATGGGGAAGAGATGTTATGGGAAGTGTTTTGTTTAAACAACCTGTCCCTCTTTTGAAGATAACGGTACTCCTCTAATCATGTAACCATTTGCTTTTGAAAAATAACACGTCCCGGGCAACACAGTATCGACTAGTTGAGCACGTTTTCCTTACACAATAATCAAAGGTGTTGGGCAAAGTGTTAATAGCCTACCGGTAATTTACTTGTTCACTGATGAATAACTTGCTTGTTCACCGGTGAATAACTTCCTTGTTCACCGGTCAGTAATTTGCTTGTCCACTGGTGAATACTTTTCCTGCTCATTGGTCACTAACGAATTCAAACAAGAGTGATTTATGAGGCCACAAGTTTTCATAAACTTGTTTCATTCGGGCCAATATTACTTGGAAAAAATAATTCAGAATTTCGGGTGAGTCTCTTAAATGTCAATCGAGAAAGCCACGACTGAAATTATCCTGAAATTTCCTTGGAGAAAAACCTTTTTTAGTAAAGCTTTTTAACAAATTTCTGCTATCAACTTTATAGGTAACATTGAAAGAATTATAAGAAGCTTATATGATTCTTTTAACAGCTGTATATGACCCTTCTGAATTTTCACACTTCATCATTGTATGTCAGGCAAAGCTAACTATGATGTTCGTAATAAAGACCCGCAAATTAAGGTGGGCTAGCCAGGCATTCTGAGGGAATTAAGGCAGGCCCGTTCTGAGGGACTTTCTAATTGAAACGCTTGACAATTCAAGACGATTTTGGATTCTGTTTAATGGAAGCATATCTAGATCAATTGTGTATCTTTTCGCAGGGGCTTGAGATTGCGACAACTTCAAGCCCAAAATAGAAGTGTGACTCCTCTGTACTTTTGGTACCTGTTTTAGAGAAATGATCAAGACAGCGACAGCGTTGCTAAAATTCTTTCGCCCGTGCCCAAAGCATTGGTATTTCAACCGTTTTCACTCATTGTTGGTTAAGATAATCCATTTGTAGAGTTAGATAAAGCGACAGGTTTTTTTGGCCCGCTAAAACACCTGGCTTACTCGGAGCCTAGACCACGGGGCGCAGAAGCTTTGCAGGCCAAGGAATTCAACTAACGGTGTTAAATTTGATAATAATCAAACAAATCAAAATACGGTCACTACGAATTGTCAATGAGCTGTGATTTCTTTCGCTGTTAAATTTTCCCTTTAATTTAGCATCATAGCCCGTGGGTTCGTGATAATGCCTTTGAATCTCATCCGTGACGTCACATACGGCCAAAATGGCGTCTCGCTACATTGCTTTCAATGAACAAGAGTGATTAATCACTGTAAAAGAGCTCTAGAATTAATGCCGAGTTACTAAAAGGATCGAAAACAAAAATAACTCTGGGGATGAATGCAACACTATGCATGGATTCTAATTGAACGCCACAACAGCAAAAAAGCTACTATAATATCTTAAGTGCTTGCGAAAGAACCTTTTCCAATAAACTAGGCCATAAATTATAACATCGCTACCTGACATTTGCTCTGGTAAGCTAACAAGCATGTGGCCAGATGTCTTTTAGTTGTTTACAACGGAGGTTTCAATTGCATGCTTGATAGTAACGTTTTTCCCGCCATTGCCAAACAGTACCAGCTGCGATCGAACACGCTAGTTTAAGGTGGCATATGCTGTTTAAAATATTATACGATTTAGTGCATTTTTCGCTAGTTCCGCGGCGAATACAAATAGGATTTCCGAAAACCGCGAACCAAAATTGCGTAGAGTTTACATGCAAAATTTCCGAATGGTAGATTTTTCGCAAAAACAACACGTGTCTTACCAGAGGGGTAGATGTTATCGGCGGCACCGTTCGCCTCTTACCAAAGTTGCGGAATGAAACTTTTCTTTACTTTAACGCAGGTAGACTGGTTCTTCCATGTGCCCTATAGTGCTAAATGTTGTTACAAACGCTTTTGTTTCGTCGACGTATTGCGGTATAATCAGCCAGTTCCCCGCTGCTCAAAGAACAGTCAAAACGAATATACAAAATAAAGTACCTTTTTTATTAATGTCTCGGACGTTAAATTGATACATGGAACACAAAATCAGTTCCAACATGAGTTGAAGTTTACTTATTTTCATCCCAATTTTTGATATCAAATTATGAATAACTATTTACATCTCTTATATTTTTACGAAGCTGGCGGTAACCTAAGTTTAACACTTCACTGAAGCGCGCTTAAACTGCACAACGTGATGCGGGATTAGCAATACGTAATTCCTGTAAATCTGTAGCTAATAGCATTCTCAATGTCTTAGTTTAAAAAGATCTTGATGTGACTGGGGTGGCTCTATTTAAGTGCGCTTAAAATGCGCTACGCTATTACTAATATACACAGTATATATTTGCAAATCATATAACTAACGACTAAAATCGGATCGTTGATATGGATTGTCTTTACAAAAACGCAGTTTCTATCTTTGCACAAAGACTGTTAATGTGCGTGTTCTCAGTAACATCAGTAAGTATTCATTTCATCGCAAGGAATTTACACTGAGCTGAGAGGCGGCCGGCATGGTAACCTCAAAAATGGTCCCTAATAATTTCAAACGTCTTGATCGCAATGCGTTCTCTCTATAAACAAACAGAACCGTCTCTAATAATTTCAAACTTGACGATTTCGTGCTGTTGCTGACCTGGACAGGACATCTATGGCGTCTCATAAACAAACAGGCTAGCTCACTTAGAGACAAATTCGACAAAGTTCATTAGCTGCACTGATGGGAAATCTTGACCCCGCGTCGGACAACAACACTTTGCTGTGTGTTTAATAAAGTCACTTCTGATTAGTGGCAGTTGCTTCGGCTCTCGTAGTGAAGGAGCTCTTCCAGATCCTGTATATATTCCATGGCAAGCTTAAGAACTTCAAGGTCTGAGAGATTTTCTCGGTTTTCGTCTTGCGGAAGGACTTCTCTCAGAGCCCTAAACGCGCACTCGACCAGCTCTAGACTCTCAAATCCTTCGGTTTCCATCTCGCTAACTTTGGCGTTCATCTCTGTAATGTACTTGACGCTTTCTTGCATCTGGATAGCCATTTCCTCGCAGTTCTTCCTTTCCCCCAAGCAAAAATTACTCTCGCAGTTTGTGCGAAGTCAAGATGTCGTCTGTTCGTCGGCTGGACTGATTAGAACTGGTTAACACAGTCTTAAAACGCGTCGATTTAACACCACGATTTGTTTATTGTTTTCTACCAACGAAGATATTACGCCTATTGTTCTTATTATGTTATGAGTCATCCCTCCAAACTCATCTATAAACATGAGGCTTTCTGTGCCAAGTGACAATGCAAGCTTTCCGGAAGCTAGATCTTCGAACTCGAGTCAGTTATCGATGGAACAAGCTAGTTTCATCGCGTGCGCTGCTCACCCGGAGCACGTTCCAGAACATTTGATCAACACCTGGTAGAAGGACAAACACTATTGGAACGTTGGAAAACTGTCATAAATTGTTTTCGTCCTTTTTCGGTGGCGAAAAATGAACAATCCTTCTCTAGGTGCCAAATTCGCTAGCTATCTTACACTTTACAATAATGACGTTAGTGAAGCGTAACTCGGGAATCTTTTATGAACACAGGTGTGCAGGAAAATTTGCCGGAGCTATTGTTCGACGCATAATAAACAACAACATAGGCATTATAACCGTATTGTCTTTGTCAGAAGACCGAATGTGAACAATGCATAAGGATCGTGGGAAATGCGGTACAAAGCGTTAGTTCACGACTTATTTGCCTGTCTTTCAAGTAGTTATAAAATTCCTATACAACTAAGTTAAGTACTTGTATTGTCATGGAAACGTGCAGAATAGTAAGATAAATTCGAGAGCAATATCGTGGCCCTTGTTACAAAAGAAACGTCATGTCTCTTACTCGTAGACTAATTTTGGCGACACGTACTGTAGTTTTCTTTGGAGTCCGTTGACGAAATCATGTGGTGTGACTATTGAAATAAAATCTCTTCAGCACCTCTTTCGCATAGTGCTTATTTGTATTTTAGTATCGTTTCAAGAAATTCTTTTAAAAATTTTTGTTAAGTTCACATTTTGTACTTAAAGGGAGTACATAGGAGGCTAAGCGTTCTAGAAACAAGCTTCCGCCGCGCCGGACGCCGCCGAACACCCCAAACATATGGCTCGCATTGTCACCAATTTAGCAGCTGAAGAACCTGTGCGCGCTATCGGCGTTTCTCGCGTGGTAATTCTGAAACGATTGGCGCCACAAGGCAGTATGATAACAGCCCGTGTGTATAGCAATGCGTGGCAGCTTAACACACGCAATCCCAGCAACGCGAAACAGATTGAAATGTGTCTTTTCTTATCTGTCTAAGTATGTTGCGGGTAAAATATCGTACGTGAAGGCCTGTGTGTCTGTCAGCGGGAGTTCGTTCAACACGTGCATCTCCAGCGCGATTCTCGACGATCGTAAATAAAAAGCGTGGGAAAATCCGCTCAAAGATGAGTCATGTATTTGTTCGAACATCGTTTTGAAAATCAATTAATTTCTCGAGAGATTTCGACGCGTTAACAGTGGTACTTAAATATCGCGGGATTTGCAATTAATTATTTAATGAGCTGTTAAATGGCCTTTAGGAACACCAAGTAGAGGTACAAACTAGACTGAACTGCAACTCAAATCGATATAGCAGCGTTTGTGGTAAAGGTTTGGTTATCATATCGCGATTTGAAGGCTTGGAGTGTGTTTTAAGGTCTGACAAAAGTGTGTCGTGTGGCGGAAGAAAAGAGACTTGAGTCAACATTTCGCGCCACCTGTTTGACAAAAATGTGACTTTTAAGACCGGACTTCACAAACATCAAAACAAACGGCGCTAAATCTCGAATAAGGCTGGTTTTAAAAACATTGATAATCCCGCTAAAGAGCGCAAGGTTTCGCGCAGGTTTCTTTTTTTTATTAAACGTCTATCACCTGTCGCATTGATTTGAAGCTATTTAAGAAGCAATTAAACACGGCATTTGAACAAAACTTGACTTGTTAGTCTTTTACAACCGGTTGCTAGGTGTCATTAGTGAAAGCAGCTTAGGAATGCACTCTGAATTCCTTCTCCCAAATTTTGTTCAAAAAAACAAACAAAAAACAAAAAGAAGACGACGAAGGGGAAGAAAAAAGAAATGAAATGAAAACAAAGATGACTGGAAAAAATATTGGTATTCGTTGGAATAGACAGTCATAGGACAGCTTCCACAATAATTTTCTTGGCTGTTTGTATGACTCTGGTATAAACTAAGCTTTAGGAACGGTTATTAAAATATAGTTCAGCAAGTGTTTGCTGTTGTCATTTACTGAAACTGTCTGAAGAATCCCTTCAGAAACAATTTTGTTAAAAAACTGTAGTCTGAGGTAGACTATGTTAACCCTTTCATTGCTAACAGAGGCGAAAGTGAAAGTTCACAAAACGTTTCCAATCTTCTTTTTGTGCACCCAAGAAATAAATAGTACAAGGCAAAAGTGTTGCAAAAGAGGTTTCATTTGATTTCACCCACAGACTCAAAAGTTAGCACGACACACTGAATAATTAGTACCATGAAAAAGTACTGCTGAAGAGGTTTCATTTGGATGGTAACACCATTGGATTTCACCCACAGACTCAAAAGTTAGAACGACACACTAAATAAATAACAAGCAGAACTTTCTCGCGATACTTTTACTACGTTTAGGTTATCAATATTCTGTACATGTTGGTTCTATACCGGTAAATCCTTCAGTGCGCCGTGCTTTTCAGTCAGTTATCTTAGCATTCTGTACACAGTGTAGACGAAATTGTTAAGGGTGACTATTCATTGCCTCTGGCGAGCAAAAGTTTCTTGTGCAGACTCTCGGTTGCAAGCTTTTCACTGTTTCTTGCGGTTGGCGGTATGCCGATGAAAGCCTTCGGCTTGTCGGCTTTTTATTTAGGCTACTAAAGGTATTCTCTACAAGGTGTCAGTTTTTCTTTCTTGTTTTTGTTTTGGTTTACTTTGTGTTTTTGTTTTGTTTTGTTTTGTTTTTTCTTTTTTGAGGACAAAATCTTTGGGCTTTACTATTCAAATTTATTGAGCATAGCCGGCAAGCAACTTTTTACCTGTGACACTTGATGGCATTCAGTATTCAGCTCTATTTAGAGGTTCTTTGCAGATTACTGAAATCCTTCAAAGATCTAGACTACTGTACTTTAAACAACCAGAGGCCAGTAAGATAAAATTTATAGAGCTGGTATACCATTTATCATTATTACGTGAGCTCGGCCGACTTCTTAATTTCCTCGGTAAAACTCTAAGGCTCTATTATTAGGTCTTTAGCTCCTAGACCGAGTTTAGGACATGATTTGTGATTCTTATGTTTGAACCTACGGATGAAATCCAATGGTGGTTCAATTCAAATAAAACCTCCTCAGCAGTAATTTCACATTGTACTATGGACGTTAGTTTGAACAGTTGAGCTAGCTTAAACAAGATTTCGTCCGCAAAAACCACTAAAATGTCTACAATGCAGGAAGCTAGCTTCCTTTGGAATCATTTAACAAAGTATAAATCAATGATTATGACTAAGGACATAACAGATGGCGGAAAAGGAACTATTCGCTTATTGTTAATTCAAACATTCCGTGACGGTTACGAAATCTCATTTATCATAGTTATTCTACCTTTCTTTGTTCTTTTCGATACTTGGATAATCAGGGAGGAAGTCAAGGTCATGAAAGAGGCCGGATATTAAATTCAATTCAGAGCTCATTAGTTTTCAAGTCGCGTCCGAAATTTGTTTAACAGAGTGTAACTTCGTCGGGCCAGTTTAAAGGATAATCAATGTCACCACGTTCTTATTAAGTCTAGCGCTCAGGTTTTGCAGAAAGCACTGAATAAGACGGGTAATTTTCGTTTCTTTCTTCTTTTTGCAAAGTCAAAAAAGCTGTAATTGAACAGACTTACTCAAATCCAAAAACTAGAATAGAACGAATAAACCAATCAGATTTCCTAATAAAAATCGCGGGAAACGTCATCTAGCTGTTGCCAAGGGCGGGAAAGTCAGAGCTAGCCCTGATTGGTTAATAATCCATAACCTAAAAAGATGCAATTCCATTTGCACTTCAGGCTAATATGTTTTCAACGCGGCTTTAAACTTAGCCATGCATTCCCATTATAGTCTTTAAAGTTAGCATACTAAGCTTCATTGAAATTTATATTCTTCTATGAGCGCATGTTCACAGGAATACCACTAATTTAGCTTCGTTGCGTACATTTACTGGAATCTCACAAATCATTGCCAAAGGCCGAAACTCATTCAACGGTCACAGGACTCCCACTTATCTCTACAATGGCTTCATTCTCTGACAACTGCTCCAGGTGGTTCGCGCCATTTAACTGGCTTTCATCGACATCCATCCCAGTCCCCTGCGGACTAGCCACGGCTGCTTCCGGCTCAGAAGTCCTGACCACGAGGTCGGGTGTTCTGCTGTAACCGTACAGCAGCTGGTCTTTTTCCCTGGGATCTAGACGTGGGCGAGTGCCGCGGTAAGTCCGCTCGGAACTACCCAACCGGAGGGAATTATCGAGCTTGGCTTGCTGTTCCCGTTGCATCCTGCGCTGCGCCCGGCATTTACTGTCAATTCGGGGTTTAATGAAGCGCCATCGCATTTCTTCTTTATCTGACTCAATTGGAAACTTATGGTTGATGTGAACTAGAAAGAAAAAAAATAACAATATAGGCGATGTTTAAATAATTAACATTCATGTTAATTAACCCGTATGCCAAAAAGCGCGGGGCACACTTCTCTGAAGATTACATTCTATCTGGCGTTGGCTGCAAAAATTAGCCTGCAGTTTATTCAGAACTGCAATACAGTAGTTGTACAGCATTTATGCTCAAAATTATGACGGCATAATTCGACAGACCCAGCCCTACCAAGATCACGTTTTCTTAGTCTGGGAATGATCCATGTTTTGCTGCCCTTGCGTGGCACCTGTTGCATGTGCTCAAACAGTTCGTGATTAGAAAGGTTGTAACCTCCTTTTTTTCACACTTGACCCCTACCCCACCTTTTCCCGCGCCGGGCAGTCCGCCGAGCACCGGTTGCAAAACTCACCTTGAATGCCCTTTATTTTGATTGGATCAAGCAGTTCTCGACCACGTGCCCCGTTAATATTTGACGCAGCCATCTCGTCCCTACTAAACAACGCTTCAAGGAGATTGAGAGAAAGTTTGGCCGGGTTTGAACCAGAAGCCTCGGCACGACTCAGCATCTTTGTATCCCCACAGTACCACACGCGGGACTGTGGGTTTGTCTTGTCGCCAAGCCAACATCCTTGAGAATAAGAAACGTGTTGGAGCCCTGTGAACAAATGATAAAAGGAAATTGAGGTCACCTCGTTCGAGACAATTCAAGTCCCAATACATATACTCAAAACAAACAATTTAAATTAAACAGATTCGATGTTTTTTTTTTCTTACATGGGTTTGACACTCATGCAAGATGGCAGCCCGTAACGCAAAGCGCTCGATAATTAAATTGAAGCACTCGTCTGAGATGAGAACACTCTTGGGCAGTAGAAAGGGTGTGGAAACGAGGGAAAAGGTAGAGGGAATTGCCGGGATTCCTCGCCCTGCTTTTCTCCCCTTAGCCTAAGGAAACAGCCGACATTTCGTGATGCCCGTGGTTTCATGATGTAAGATTTTAAGTAGGTGGCAAAAGCTTTGGAGTAGGTGGAGAAGGAAAAAACTTGCCGCAGAGGCGCGAGTTTCTGGAAAGTTTGAAATCTGGGCCTCTTAGCCGAATGCATTTTCACCATTATGGAACAAAAATTAGAGTGTTTGAACAGAAAAAAGACATCATTAAATTTTGGCTTTTTTATTCAATAAAAGCACACGAATACTTTATTTCAACCTGGGGTAATTTCCAAAGAAAAGTAGGCAGCGAGTTCACGTGAAATAGCCGCAAATTTCGCTGGCCACCAGCTCTCATTGAAAACCCGAGTTTTCCCTCGAAATGACTACACTCATTTCTCAGACGTCATTTCGCACAGAAACCAGTGGTGACGTCGCGAAATATAGGCTGTTTTCTAAAGGCTACTCTCCCCCTCCCCTACCCTTCCTTCCCCTCCCCTATTTCGCTCCTGCCACACAGGCTTATCTGGTCGTTAAGGGAACGGTCTTTGTAAGCATCTAATTTGCAACAGATAGACATTCACAATCCTCTATTATATATCGCTTATTTTTAGTTGATTAACGGACAAACTGGAACCTGCTCTAACCACACCGGAACGTGGCCTACGCTTTGAAAAGGAGAGGGCTGCGTCTCTTATTTTGGCTCCCCTACCTTCTAACGTGCACATAGCCCCATTCGCTATATCCTGGATTTGAATTTCTGCTGTGACGCTTTTCTTGCTTTTATCCCCTAAAGATATTATAACAGGCACCACGCGATCAGAATCACCCACTAAGTCATCTCTGTCCAGTCCTCTAGAGAGTGAATCCGACTTTGTTTCCAAGACAACAGGTCTAGCAGCTGTTTCCGCTACTTGCCCGGATGGCATCACAGGTCTGGGCTGTGATACTTGTTGCAGCTGTCTTGTAGCTACCTCTAGCCCTTGCTGAAAGCCCTGGTTCCAGTAAGCAGTACTGTTAACATCTGAGGTCTCTACACGAGAGGCAAAGGGATTCAGGCTAGGCGAAAGACAGGTGTTAGGTGATTTGGTGCTGTCTGCAAGAGCTGGAACATTGGTATCCCTGGGGCTTCCACCAATTTTATTTGGTGATATCACGATGCCTGTGGGCACAGTCATCCCACTGTCTGCCTCTGGTGCAATTGGGTGTCTCAAGGACATCTGAAAAACCATTCAAAGTTATTGTCAGTAACAAACCAGAGTTTGCAGCCCTTCCTGCTCTCACGGTTTGACCGTGACACTCCCGGTTTGGGCATTCAACTCACGATCTCACAATTTAACCGGGCAACTGTACTTGTTTTGTCCATTGTTCATCACATTTCCTCTAGCTTGCATTAGGAAAGTAGAGGTTTTGAAGAGTCAACTTACATTTAAACATTAGAATCCTATCTTTGACTAACTGAAAAGTTGTCCTATTCACAACCTTAGGGCTGTCACTAAGATTTTAATGTGCCATGTATATGAAACAAGTAGGTAGGGGAATTGAGCAGCTTGGAAGTAAATTTCAGGGGCGGATCTAGGGGGAGGGTGCAGGGGGTGCGCACCCCCCCCCCCCCCCCCCCCCCCCCCCCCGTTTTTTTTTTTTTTTTTTTATCTTTTTTTAAAAAAAAAAAAAGAGTAGAGGGTTGTGTGGGGATGAGAAGAAGAGGAGACCCCCCCCCCCACAAAAAAAAAAATCACCCCCCCCCCCTTCTTCCTGTCTTCTTTTCTTCCCCTTCTTTGTCTGTGGGGCGGCGGCCAGCTCTACTCTCTTTTTCTTTTCTATAAATTACAGCAATCTATTTATGCAGCTCAAGAGGTGTATCTTAATCACCATTTGGGGGGTTATTCAAAATTTTAAGTGGCACTGTGATAGAAACAAGAGGTGGGGGGATTGAGGAGGTGTGAAGAAAAATTTCGGGGGGGGTTTTGGGGGGGGGGGGCGGGGGGGCGGCCCCCCCCCCCCCCCCTGAGATGACCTTTGGTTTTCTAATACAACTGGTATTCTGCCAAAAAAAAATGTGGGTTATTGGTGTTGAAGTAGAGCAAGAGACGAGTGCACCCCCTCCTGAAAAAAATCCTGGATCCGCCCCTGAATTTCGTGCTACTTTCCAGGTCATGCTCATTGTAGCCGGGGGAAATCCCCTGTAACATCTCTATCATTTCTCTTACCCTCTTCTCTCAGATGAATAAACTTACCTAAAAAATATGCTTACCAAATCTGTTTTCTTTTTGTTAGGTGTAAAGATTTCACTTCCTGGATCACTTGCCATAAGAAAACTGTCAATCTTGCACTCAAGCGTCTCCAAAAACTTTTCAATCTTTTCAAGCTTTCTGCCATTTGCTTGAACTATGTCACTAACAAAAGACTGAAGAAGAGAAATATAAATTTGGTTTTCAGTGTCATGACTATTACTACAAAATTATTCTTTAGGAAAAGAATTAATGAGTAAAAAAAATCAAAGCAAGCATATTACTCAGTTTTAGCAGTAAGAAGCAGCTGCAAGTATAAGTTGTTCGCCCTACATGTACCATAGATTAAGGGTACTAGACAATCATAGAGGCAGGGTTGATGGGGCAAAACATACCCTTTATACAGCTGAGCCTCTCCAAAATGGTCACCTTGGGGACAGAAGAAAGTGGAAGATTTATGGTAGACAAAAGGACTTACCAAAGACTTGGAGCAACTTTCTTTTACATATGAGGCCTCTGTCTGTGTGTACACATCTAATTTCAGGCAGAAATCATTGGACCACAAGGAGTTTTCATCTAACTTTCCAATTTTCTCCTAAAAACAGCATTATACATTGTTGCTGTTAAAACCCTTACACATACAAAATATCAAATTCGCAACAGGTCCCAAATTTCCCTTTTTGCAAAATGTTGGAAAATACATTGAACCCTATAAAAATGCTGCTGAAGGGGTTTTATTTGTCTCTGTCCACCCTCATTTTTATTAAAATTACACTGCTTGTCTTTGCAATCAACTCTGTGAGTGATGGGTATACATCCAGTATTAATACAAGTCATAGCAAGAATTTGGTGATGAGGCCATACACACTGTGCAAGACAAGTGACGGGGTGGGGAAGGGTTCTATCCACTACATACACAAGGGTTAAAAAAAACTGCCTTTGTGAAGGGGTACTGTTTTTAAACAGTTTCCTTAGTCTGGGACAGAGTATTACAAAAAGAAAGTAAAAAAAAAATGCAAACTTGAATTTCAGTTAAAAATAAAAATGAATTTATTAACTTTTATTACATATACCACACTGAAGTAAAAAAACAAATACACAAGCTGATTTGTTTCAGTTTAAAACACTTTAGATAAATAGATATCTTACAAATCGCTTGAATTTCAAGACAAAGAAAAACAATATATTAAAGTATCTGACCAGTCTATGTGGAAATAAAATAATCTCAAGTACAACATGTAAATAAGACTGAAATTTTTCCTACACTAGAAGTCAGTTCTAAAATTGGTGTTCTTAAATAGAAACTGACTGTTAAAGCCTACATGTAGCTTAATTATAAAATGTCTGCTGAAAAAATAAAATGTTGGACAATTTTTTAAATATATTAATCATAAAAAAGCAACAAAATGGCAAATGGAAAACCTATATTTATTTTTTGAGCTAAGCCTAGTTTCATACGGTTTAAATTTAATTAATGTTTAACATTATAAGTCATTTATATACACAAGACTTGCCAAAGGTACATACAAAATGTTATATGTTAAAATCTAAATTCAAGTTCCCTATGTTACAGATTTAGCATAGATCATTCAACACATTTTATTAGTATGAAAAGGATAGCATTTTAGTTAAAAAAGTTTACAAAATGGCAAGTACATGTATTTATGATGTTCTTGTTGTTGGTTTGTCAAACAGCTTCTTCTTCAATACATCATGTTCACAGCTTGTTTCTTCTGAAATTTTAAGAGTTTGGAAAAAATGTTGTTAGCTTGTTGGTCTCAGTTGTGTTGAGAGTTTTTATTTCTTTATTGGGAAAACAGCATATGGATTTATTTCTTATTTATCCACAAGATTAAAACTCATTAAAAAAATTCTGCTTGTGGTACAATCATGAAGACACTGGCTGAGCGCCATCAAATTAAACTTGTTTTTTTGATATATTTATATTGTAATCCCTACTATTCAAAACTCCCTGAGGAAAAGGAAATTGGTTCAAGTTATAAAGAGGATTCAAACAACAAAAAATGGCAAGTAAGATTATAGCATTTGACTGGAGAAGGTAGGCCACTTGGTTTCAATTATTGGAAAGTTAAGAAACTGGGATTCTACAATCCAGTACTTTTAATAGTTTTACAAGATGTGTACAGGGATTAAGCAGTACCTTTAATGTTGGAGAGTTTGTTGAAATACTCACATTTGGTAACCTTGCTTACTTGTTTTTAAATTAAATTTTTGAATTCTAATTACAAGTTGTGTACAAGGGATTTATCAGTACCTTTCAATAGTGGATAGTTTGTTAAAATATTTACATTTGGTTGCTTACTTGTTTTTATACTAAATTTTTGAATTCTTACCATTTAAAACCAGTTAGTTACATGATTGTATGAACATCTTATATTTATTCATTTTAATTTTGAAGTAGATAATACTATTTGAGCTGAAAAGTTGATTTTTGATAAGTTGGCAATTACAAGAATACATGTAACAGGTCACAATTAAATTCAGGTTAAAAAAAATTATTCTTTAACCTAAGTTGATTAACAATAATTATTATTCTTTCCTTTGTCTCCTAGCCCAACTATTCATGAATCCATCAGGGCTAGGAGGCAAAGGAAATTGAGAATCAACCTAGGTTAAAAAAGTTTAACCTGAATATAATTTTGACCTGAAACATAAACCAATTCCTTCACAATCTACTGATTTTGGAAATTATTTTGACTCATCATTAAATTTGTGCTCAAAAGAGAAACATGAGAAAATCAAAACAACAAGATTAACAGAGGTTGCAATAACAGACTCAATCACCTGAGAAATGTTGTTTTGTATATCATCCACTGCTCTTCGCTTAACACCAGACTTACAATTTGTTGCATTGTTATTGTGAAAATCACTGTCCATTGGCTCGCCACTAGCTGAATTGAGATCCCTGGTAAAGAACAATATAAAATTAATAAAACTGTGGCAGTCATTACAATATAAATTAAGCTGATTTAGCAACAGAGTGCGAATGTCAGTTGACGACAATGCATGCAAATCAAACAACTGGCTTGACCAATGGCAGAGCAGCAAATTGGGCACTGGAAGTTGTGTTTGGTCCTTTCCGCACATTTTCCTGTCGTCAACTGATGTTCCTGTTCTGTTGCTAAAGCCTATTATCTAAACCTGTAATAAGACAAAACACTGAGTCAAACCTTTCACAGATTACACCCTCAATGATAATGAGGGTGTTGCCCTAAACAGGGTCAGGGTTTCGAACCCTCAACGGCTCACCTATACCGAAACATTGGTTGAATAAAATATTATTATTTTAGTACCCTGTTTAGGACATAAAGGACAAAATGCACACCGTCTTGTTCCCAAGCCATTTACTGGCAATTGCAATAGAGCGAATTTATGTTATAGTCATTGCTTTTGTATACTTGTGTATACTTGGAGTACAAACAAAATTCATCTAGCAAATCAAATCAATTGTGCGGCAATACCCTCTTCACAGACTCACACTAATTACATACCCTATTTAGGACAGACACATATGAAATTATGTGTCCTGTTTAGGATAGAGAGGTAAAAACTATACCCTGATCAATAGTCTGTCCCGATTATGCTCGTAAAATGCTGGAAAGTTGCTAACTAGAATGCCAAAAAGTTAAAAAGTTGCTACTGAAATTTCTGGATATTATTAAGTAAACATCAATTTAAAGTTTTATTTTTCTTTCTTCACAATTTATTGCTAATATTGGTCAAGAAATTTAGCTTAAAACCAACCTTTAAAGTATCACTTGCAAATATGGGCTAAAAATTTAGGCATACTAATATTATAAAATTATTATTCATACGACAATAATTGTCCTTTTAGGCCTGCTAAACTTGGACAAGTGAGAGATTGTGTTTGTTCAAAAGATTGCTACATATTTACCAGAGAAGACAATCCTCTCTTGACATTTAAGAAATTCCCATAAATTGAAGTTTCCTGTGAAATGGTTGACTTTTTCATGCTTGATATGTGCTCTAAACCGATATTTTGTTCAAAAATTGCTTGAGGTTGAGGTTGTTATTGCTTGCGTGCAGATGTCTCCTATTTCCTTTGTTGCACGCGGAAAAGGGACGTTCCCTTTTCCGCATGCAACAAAGGAAATAGGAGACGTCTTCACGCAGGCAAAGGTTGCTAGAACCACAAAAAGTTGCTCCTAATACCAAAAGTTGATCTAAAGTTGCTGAGCACAATAATTGGGATAGGCCTACTGACCAGCAGCATATCCCTGTATAGGCCATATGAGAGAATACCCCCCCCCCCTCCCCCACAGGAGATCAAACCTTGCACCAAGGGGTCTAGTCACTTAAAAAAACGGTAAAAAACAATGGAAAATTCTCAAACTGTCATTTGATACTAAAAAGTGGTGACTTCATGAGAGATGGTGGTTTAATAGGATGAGCGGGGAGGGGTTGCACACGAATTTCCATCCCAACCCCTCCCCTGCTGTGGAAATCAAACAAAGCTTGAGTCTCATATTTCACTTTCTGGATATAAAATTTTGGTTTCTCACATCTGAAGCAAAGAGGAAACAATCACAGCTCGGCCAATACATGCCGAGCATTTAACTCAAAAAAGCTGCAACTGTGATAATAATTCGTGGTGCAGTTTTTCGGGGAGAACAGAGAACTAACATGATTCGCGATAGTCTATAAACGTGTACCGTTGCGCGAAATTTAATCACCGCCAAAAGGGCTCTTTGAACTCTTAATTCATTTTCAGTTTTGGAAAGACTTTCATTGCGACTTAACACTACCCTACAACTAAACTACGATTGATATCTGTTGAAAAACACGGCAACAATCTCCTCTTGAAAAGATATACAAATTATTTTGAAACCAACAGCGTGTTTAAGTGTGTGTACATAGTCGAAGCCGTTACGTGCCGAGAAACGCGAGCGGCGAGTCTGGATTTGCGCGCTGAAGTTTTCGTATTTTCCCTCAAACTTCTCCCTTCAATTGAATTCACTTACTTTGAGGTTTGCATCGTCGACAACAGCTTCTGTTGCAAGTTACAGAACTGCGTGTTTAACGCACTGTAACGCCAAGCTTCCATCAACAGACGGCCAGCGATCTTGCAGAGTTCGCCTCACACACCACACTGAATGCACTTGAGAAACCGCATGATCTTCGCGCTAATGTCACGCGCGAAATGCGTGATAAAGCTCGCGATATATAGAAACAGCAATAGGGTCCCCAGGAAAGAATTATTAAAAGAAAAAATGTTTCTTCAACGTTTATTTTTCTCTTGAGATGAGAATTCTTAGAAGATATCGCTTCTTTTGAGTAGATTTACTTCCTAAACTAATCAAAAGATTCAAAAGATTCATTAGTCGGCAACGGTGTCAGTATTATCCTCCCATCCCTAGTGTTTCTTTTGAATTGCCGCTAATATTATTCACTATAGACTATGCGCTAAAGAGAAGTAACGCTGACAAAAAGAACGCTGGCGTTGGGAAATTTCGCGTTAACTTTAATTTCTGCGACAAGTTTCACGTTTTCCAACTAATATAGGGAAATCGAGAGATGTAGCGGCTTTAGATTGTTGATAAATGGTTTCATAAACTTACTTTTGTTGAGGTCTTGTGAACAAACTAGAAGAAAGATGTGGCAAGAAGCGAGAAGACAGGAGAAAAAGTTGCGGGGAATGATGGTGGATTATCGAAAAAGGGCTGAAAGAAGGAGGGCTTTCTACGAGAAGATGGTTGGATTATGTTTAATTTTTTACTTGTTATCGTAGATGAAGGATTATGAGGCAAGGAAGGTAACATTGTGACCTTTTCCGCGGAGGAACTGGACTCATCGCCCAAAAATCAAAATGAAATTTAGCCTATACTTCTTAGAGTTTATACTCATTGAACATTTAGTAAACACTGACTCATTTTGTGTCAGAAGAATTACTGATAAACTTGCATGGTTCTAAATGATATTACGGATACAACTGCTTTTTATTAACTTATTTCTTTTTGTATCAATAAAATTCTCAGTTATCATTGCAGGGCTATCATTAAGAGGCTGGGGGCGGTGGTGGGGGGCAGGGATTGCCCTTAGCTACTATGAATGTGGTCCCCAGCTCCTTTCACAGAAAAATAGAACCAAAAGAAATCCCTAGCTGTTTGATTCCCCACCTACTTCTTGTATTCACCTGGTAACTTATAATCTTACTGACATCCCTCACATTGTAGTGGAATTGTGTTTGTTGTAAAAGAGTGAGTTTTCACAACCTTTCACAAGACCACTGTTCTAGTTTTGGTACTGTATGAATCAATACTTACATTATTTTCTTTTTACTGATATTTTCACAGAGGCTAGATCCAACCCAGTTTCTTAGACTCTATGGACAAAAGTGTAAAATCCACATTGATCCACAGTTATCTGCAGCAGGGGATGGGAAATCTGTAATGTGAGTGAAAAAATATAGACTAGATGTAGAAAAATTGTGAGGTTCATAGCTCAAACCAAAAAATTTCGTAGTCCCCCCATGAGGAAAATTTTTGGTTTGACACCCCCCTCTGGCCTCACCCCTCTGGAAATTCCAGTCTAGCTTCAGACTTTTCCATGAAAATGTTTGCTTATAACTTTTTCATTAAGATCTACCTATTGATATGGAGTAAAGCAATTACTTTTGTCTCAATTTACCGACTTTAGACTGTGAAAGGTTTGAACCCAGGAGTCATTTCATAAGTAGGTTGAGTTTGATCATCCGGGTGAACATAGTCCTGAATAGTACTGTTGTTGTTGACAGTGACTAAAGTTTCCACAACCTGTGCGGTAGTCATCTTCAGAGTCAAAGTGAGTTGTATAACGTCAGTTGATGGTATTACACTCTGTTACTGTTTCTTTTTCCAGGATGCCTTGGCAAGGTGATGCAAACAATATGATTGACAGGTAAGTTATTATGGGTTGGAAAGTTAATTTTTATATAGGTTCAACTCCTGTTGGGAGGTACTCGTACTTTTTCGTCTGAGCCCCTTGTGTCACTGACTGAATAAATATCATTCTTATTTACTCACGAGGCTAAAAAATTCACCATCTCATCTTAATCATGGCGCATAAGCGCATATCGACATCCTAATCCAAGCAGTATGCAAAATGTTTGTTGCATGAACCTAGTTTAGTGACCTTAGGTCCAATGAGCTGGTCTCTTGTAGCTTAGTGTTAGAACGTCTGGTTGACTGGTAACCTGGCCCTGGTTGTTCAAAGGCTGGATAGCGCTATCCACCGGATAAATCTCTATCCCCTGGATAGTGCAATTGGTTTTCCAAATACTTATCCACTGGATAGTGATTTATCCGGTGGATAGCACTATCCATCTTTTGAACAACCCGGGCCAGATAAAGCTCTATCCAGTGGATAGTACAATTAGTTTCCCCAATACTTATCTGCTAGATAGCACTATCCAACGTTTGAACAACTGAGGCCAGAAGGTCATAGGTTTGACTACCAGTATTTTTTCGTATGAGCCACCTGTGTCACTGACTGAATAAAATGATTTTTTAAAATTTAATATTGTCTTTATTATCATCGTCATATCATCTTTTATGTGACCATCATTAAAAGCAACATTGAGTTTATGACAAAATACCATCATGAAACAGCCTAAAAACAACAAGACACTGATATTAGTGCTAAATGCAGGGTTGTCACTAAGATTTCAAGTTATCTGGTGTATACAATATAATAATTATATTGTATACACCAGATTATTATTATTATTATTAGGCAGGGAATTGAATGGCTAGAAAGTTCCATTGGTTCTGTTTTCCTTTTGTTTCCTGTGGAATCATTCCAGGTTCATGCTTAAAGCCACTAAGTGGAAATCCTCAGCCACTAGTCCTTAATGACAGTCTTAGATAAATGTGAATACAATAATATTTGATTATTTTCAATTTCAGGTTTGATGTCAGAGCGCACTTAGATATTATTCCAGAGCAACCATCATCAAGCACATTTGGGTAAAACACCAAATCTCTTTTGTTTTATTTCTTTATTGTACTTGAAGCATTTTCTCCAGTAGCCTTGAAAGACACAGTTAACAACTCTCTTTAAGGCAGATGCCAAACACTTTATGAAACTACAATGGCAAGAGCAAAGGGAATGCGGTTCTTAGTTTATTTTTTTTATCTCATTTCATCTCTTCTTGGGTAGCAAGGGTGGTGCAGTGGATAGAGCACTCACCTCCCTGGCACCAGTGTGACTCAGGCTCAAATCAGGCGTCGACGTCAAAAGTGGGTTGAGTTTGTTGTCAATTTTCTCTGTTGCCCTGAGAGTTTTTCTGAGAGTACTCTGGTTTAAATTTTAATATTCCCCTCTCCTCAAAAACCAACATTTTCAAATTCCAATTTGACCAGGAATGGTAGGCACTACCATAATGTTTGAATGTGCTAGTACTTCTAATTAATTTATTGTTATTTATTTGTTTCATTTTTCAGACCTTTGATGGAGACTGATCCTGAGGAACACAGGTTGAATTACGAGAGATACAGAACACTGGTAATGATAGATGCTAGTGGAGGTCAGTAATTAACTTGCTTATATCCCTCAGTGGAGTCAGGCCAAGTGTGGTTCTGAGGAGCGTGTGATGCAGAAATCTTATTTTCACACACAGCTGGGACTATGGGTTCTAATGTGTGGGGTTTCTAAGGTTACATGGTAGTTCAAATTTCAGTTTTTTTAGTTGCTGTTTGCCACTGCCTGACCTGCCCCACCCATCTGCCTTTAGGCTATGTACAGCTACCCCCTTCTCTGAGGGGAGGAGTGGAGGCAGCTGTACACAGGCTAACCAACCCTCCTTCATATTGACATAATGACAACGGCTGCCAAACTATTAGAACTGAAATTGTAGGTGTAAGCCTTATCTCAAGGCCTAATTCCCTGGGCAACCTGGGTAAAAGAGAGATTATAAAGAAAATGGCTTGGTAAATTATTATTTCCTGCATATGTTTAGCCTGCTTTAGCTTTAGAAGGACTATAAACACATTTAATACATTCACTATGGCTTGGCACATGACGTATCGAACGCTTCCTGCCATGGTGACCAAGCTGGTCACAGCTTGGAGTTTTTTTACACAGGCATAGCCCTGTAACTTTTTGTTTCAAATGAGGGGCGTACTGTTTTAATCATTTTAAATTTTAAATTCTTCTTTGTAGCTTCAGAGGAATCTTACCTTCGGCAGTTGGAAATAGAGGAGATGTATGGGGTGAAGAAAGATGATGACAAGAAAGATAAAGAGAAGTAAGAAAAAAGATCATAAAGTACCACTAATAAAAATATTGAAGTACTGCTAATAATTGATAAGAGGACACTATTTTTATTAGTCATGTCCCCTCCCACAGACAGGCAGTACTTACCATTTAAACTCGTGGTCATACATTACCATATCCCAAAACAAAGGAAAATAAAATTTAAACCAGGTTACCAGAACTATTAGCTTGCGCCAGGCTCTCAATTAGTGCAGACAAGTGAAAAAAGAGTAGCAAGCAGTGAAAAACCAAGCATATGAAAAACAGAGGGAAGAGACAAGGAAAGAGGCTGTTAGCATCTTTTTCAATGTCTCATTTTGCCCACTACTCCGCCAGAATGTCAAAATATGTGGTGTTCGAGGATTTCACATAATGTTTGACTCTGTGTGAGTGAAACCAAGTGACTGACGTAAATTATGATGTAAACTATCAAAATCGACCAATCATAGGAAACTGGTATACCATGATGAAGTATTCAAAACAATCCTTACGGAAACAAAAACGATGCTACTTTTCTTGAGCCCATTTTGGACTATCTTGGTACATGGAACAGGCTACAGAACTGTACAAAGGCTGTGCCAGTTTCTAAATTTTTTTCCTCTCCTGGAGATCAGCGTAGTAAGTTTATCTGCAAAACAGCGCCAAATCCTTGTTGTGGGTCCCCACCTGTGTACCAGGATTTGAGTACACTCCATGATTGGCCTGTTAAAAATGCCATTGTTGATTTGCCAATTAGGGCGAAAGAAAATTCGAAACACTCTTCTGGTAATTCATTGAGTTTGTTGCGGGCCCAGAACAAGGATCTCGGTATTTCTTCGCAGACATTACGTACCAGGGTTAAATTACGTCTTTGATGCATCAGATCTGCGACATCCTTCTGTGCAGGCCCTTGGTCTTCCAACTGCACCAGCTAAGTTTAAAAGTTGTCAACAACCAGTGTAATGTGCTTTCTTTCCTGTATTGATTGTTATGTTTTAGAAGTCAAGCCAAGGCAACCATAGGTTTCTCATATGACAATAGTGGAGGTGTTGGCAACTCCGACAAGGAAGATGATGATGAAGACAGCGACAGCGACAGTGTTCTTAGCGACATTGGTAAGAAGTTATTCCTGATCTTTGAACATCATTATTTGTTTGATTATGGACAACAGCATTGTTGGTGACAAGTCTTATCCGGCGAGCTTCTTGTATAACCGGTGGTTGCATATTGATTCATTTTTCTATCTCTGTGTGTCAACACTAATTTTCTGACAAATTTCCCATATTTAAACACCAGCAGAATTTACAGTCCTGTCACACATCTGGTTCAACAGATGTTAAGCTGGACTCTCCAGCTTCCATTTTTGAATTAAAAGTAAAAGGACTATGTTACTCGGGAATCATTCCAATAAGAAACTGGGCTGCCGATTGGACTAACAAATGAGGGTTTTGTCATTTTAACGTTTTCTTTGTGGCAGACAAGTTTATGATTTGATCTTTTTAACTATCGACTGGTAAAAGAATCAACGAACATGTAGGAAACCAGTCAAACAACAATCGCTTTATTACACCTGTAAAGCCCCGTGCAAACGGACGCAACATTGTCGGCCAACAACTCCCAACATTGTTGCGTCTTCCTGCACACCCTGTTACATGTTGTTGGGAGTTGTTGCGCAAAGTTTGATACCGGTCAAACTTTAAGCTACGTGCAGACGGACGTAACAACTCCCAACATTGTTAGGCCAACAACGTTGGGAGTTGTTGCGTCCGTTTGCACGCAGCTTAACTGAAAAGGACAATTTATTTTGCAGATGTTACAGTGGACATTGATGAAATCGATGCAAATCAGGTAATGATCTTTACGCTTTTGCCTTTTTTCTCCTTTTGCTGTATGAACATTGTTTAAATTTTTGTTTTTGTTGTATCTTCTCTGTTTTTCAAAAGCGCGAGACCCTGGATACTCGAGGACTGCATTATGGAATGGCTTCAGCTCAGTTTTGCAGGTTTGTAATAAAAATTCAAAATCATTTAAGTTTCATTCTTCAGTTAGGAGAACACCCAGAATTTACTAGACCACTTAAAACTGAATTACAAAATATTGTTAATACGTTTTTATCCCGTAGAAAACTGAAAGAAGATAAGGAAGAAATAGAAGAGCAAAGGAGACTTCGACAAGAAGAGGAAGAACGGTCGCTTGTCACTGTAGGTAGCCAGTTCATTCTTTAGACCACAGGCAACGACTAATCACCGCGCACGTAACTTTTGGCAGTGCATTTTATAAACTCTCATAAGCCATACCTTTCGTTCAAAGAGCGTGCGAGAAATTGCTCATTTATTGTAAAACAGCTCTTAGACTACGTGTAGCAAGAGTTACGGTTGGTATTGAAAGTTGCTTTTCACCGTGGCAGCCATCTGGCCTCGTAATCTTTGATGTTCTGTTTTCCGTGCAAGCCAGGGAAGAGATTACTTTGAGAAAATTCTAAACACAACACACAGTCTTGGAAAACTGATTTTGTAACTGAATTTGAAACAACAATTCAAGCTTGGGCCCTGTCCACACGTATCCGGATATTTTCAAAACGGAAATTTTTTTTTCTCTGTTTTCAAAAAATACGTGTCCCAACGTTTGCGTCCATCCACACGTAAACGAGAAGCCGGCGTTTTTTAAAATCTCCACTCTAGGGACCGTTCTAGAACGCCGTTCGCGCGTGGACGGGAGGCTAAAACGGAGAAAAAAATCTATTGTTTCAAAAACTATCCGGATACGTGTGGTCGTGGTCTTATTTTGAGCGCCATTCTATGTTAGGGTCGACGCGCAAAACGTGAAAGACGCTCGCTGCGAGAAAAGCAACGAAGGAAAGCCCACGGCCACCATGATGTGGAGCAGTCGCCACCAAGGTAGAAAATTGTATTGTGCATCCGTTTTTTTTTTAAGATTTCTGTATCGTATTTACATGTAGCACTTGATAGAATACCATGAAACTTGATTATGGGACGGAGATGTGATAAAGGGGCGGATCTGGGGGGAGGGTGCAGGGGGTGCGCACCCCCGCCCTCTAAGATGACCTGCGGTTTTCTAATACAACTGGTTTTTTGCAAGAAAAAAAAAACTATGTGTTTTATTGGTGTTGAAGTCGAGCAAGAGACGAGTGCAGCCCCTCCTAAAAAAAATCCTGGATCCGCCCCTGTGATAGATGTGATCTATAATTTCCATAGAACGTTAGCTTTTGTAAAGGGAATCAGGAAAGTACACGAAGCGAAGAAAGAAGTCTTTGAATTTTGGTGGAATGGAACACACCATCGTCCGGATAAGAGCTACCGTTGTTCTGTCAACTGAGCAACGTTGCGATTTTCGCTATCTTTTGCCTGGTAAAAGCCGCGGTTTTTGAGTTTAACTTGTTTCTTTCGTTAGACTAGTATTTATGTTTGACCTTTTTGTTGTTGTATAGCTATGCCAGGAAAGCGAGTCCTACATATGAACCATACCGAAGGTAAAGAATTAAAACTCATTTACACTGCTTTTTTTATAAGAACCTTTTCTTATAAGAACGTTCAGCCTGAAATTTTCAAAAATAACAAGAACATGCTAAGAACATACCCGAGGCCCAGAGAAGAACGATATAATTTTCACTGCAATCTAGAAAATCTGAATTTCATAATTACCTGCATGGAATCAGAGTGCACGTAAAATTTTCTTCTTTCAACACATTCCATTGTGTACGGTTAGCCTGCGTAGCAAGCGTTTCCGTTTGGTTTCGGAGCAAAGAAAAACCGCGCGAGAAATGGAACAAGAGCCACCCGTCCCTGCTCTTTTACTTACGCCATTTTCGCGTGGTCTTTGACTCTCGTTCCTCGTTCTTTGCTTCGATACCGCAAGGAAACGCTTGCTATGCAAGCTAGTATATGGTCAATAATTCATTTACATTGTGCTTGTACGATTTATCAATGGAAAACTATAATTATTGTCTTATCTTGTCTATATGTGGCTTAAAAGTTATCAGATTTCCGTTATTGAAATTTAAGAACGTCCGTAAGAACATTTCTAGGCTTTAACTGCCCAGAAAATAAGAACGGTCCAGCGTGTAATATGTTCCAAGGGATAACATTTCTCTTTTGCAATCAATAGGTCTTCGTCACGATCATCATCGCGATCACCGTCTCCCGAAATCGCAGGAAAGGTCGAGTACATCACAGAATTCAGCCATGCAGGCACTGATGAACAGACGACCAAGAAAGCGGACGGTGATTCACATTCGCATTCAACCTCCTCCCGGTCGGTTTACTTTACTTTGTTACTCGCTAGAACCATCTGACCAGCATTAGTTCGATTGTAAGAGACGAAACTGGGCCCTGGGTATACTGTTTACATTGCTTGTACGCTTATTCGCCTCTTTAGAAATGTGAAGGAAACTGGAGCCGAAGTGCGTCCCGCAGTTGTTTCTGGGATCGTTACCGGTGACGCATCAGTCAGCTATTGGCCAATTTTTTTTACTCTTGTCTCCAGTAACAGTCCCAGATGTCTTTGCGAAAGTTTACTCGGCCCTGTCCTCTTCTCGCTTCTTAAGTGGCGAATGTGGGCCGAGGAAGACTGGGTTGGTGTTGTGTCAAATTGCACTGTGGGACTGTTATGCTTGACGAAATTGAGTTAGCATTTTTTATCCATCTGTCTAAAACCCCTTGGACAGCTTGTGAAGTTTACATGACGTAGTATTTTTTTGCGTCTGTTTCCCTTGTACTCTAGATACTGTATCTAGTGTGGAAAAGAGAAGAAATACTACGTGTTGTCAACTTCATAAGGTGTCAAGGGGTCTTAAGCCGATGGGATCTAATGCTAACCGACGAATTGAGCCCATTTTCCTGCGCAGACCCGTAACAGCCACTGAAAAAGCGATAGCGTCTCCAAACCATTCCCACTATCCAATTCGAAAGGAGCAACCTCAAAATTTGTAATTAACATAAGCTACCTCTCTGCTGTAACGAACATCTAAGCCTTTGCTTATTATGGTAATCCCTTACTGTTTAAAAATGGCATGGCGCTATCGACAGGATAAATTTCTGTTCAATCGTTAAGGTTAAAGAAAACTAATAACGCTATCTGCTGGATAGAGATTTATCTTGGGGTTAGCACTATCCATCTTTACGTCTGGGATTTTAAGATTAAACCTCAGCCGACTCACTGTTTTGGTACTGTTGGATAAATATTTTGCTCGTTTGTGTTCTGTTATTGTTTTGTCGAGGGCGTAGTTTTGTATTAAACTGAGATAGCTACTCAGGTGTTTAAGTCAATAATGTTATTTTTTTTGCCTTTTGAGGGATTAAAATTCACAGAATTAAAAAATTTTTTCTGCTGTCTTACCATCACAATTAAATTTAATATTTGATAATCATTTTACATTACTTTTTGGGTCTACTTTTTCTCCAATTTTTTTCCCTTAAAAATCCCCCCCCCCCCCCCCCCCCCCCCCCCCCCCCCACCAAAAAAAACAAATGATAGGGGGGGTGGGGGTGGGCGGGGGGCAAAGGGGGGGGGAGGGAAAAAAGCAAAAAAAAGAAAAGACAAACAAAACAAAAAAACACCACCAACAAACAAACAAAAAAAAAAAAAAAAAAAAAACACAGAAACAAGAAAAAAAAACAAAAGAAAAACGTAGTGATGAAATTGTGTGTTATTGTTTTTTTTTTCCTTTTTTGGGATAAAAATAAACAGAATCAAAAAATGTTTTATTACGGCTTAACCTCTCAAATAACTATAATAATTGATAAGCATTTATAATTACTTTTTGTGTCCACTTTTTCCCCAATATTTTTCCCTTAAAAAACCCCCCCCCCCCCCACCCCGCCAGAAAAGGCACAAAGTGATAACAGTTGCGGTTTGGGGGTGCTGCTGACAACATGATCAAGAGGGGACGAAATTACTAAACACTAACAGGTCACTGAGCAACCTATACCATTCAGCACCAAGCATAATGGATAAACAAAATAGTGTCTGTAACGCCGAGAAACACCGAGAATTGTAAAATAGCTTTTGTCAGTTAGGATTTGGTGTTTTCTGTTTTAGCTGATTTTGTTCTTTTCTTCTTCCTTCACCTTTACCTGTGATGAACAACTCAACTTTACCGTACGATGATCATCTCGTCTTGCCGTTTGTTGCCCGTCTGACTTTGTTTTCTGATGACGATCTCTTGGTTCTACAATGATTGCTCTTCAAACACAAACCCTGGTATGTAAAAATTACGTCCATTTGTGATTTGCTGCTTCTATTTTGACTTTTTGTGTATCACTAAACGTGATGTAACCTTGTTGTACAAATCATCAATAGTACTACTTCAGAACGGAAGAAGTCGAAGGAGCGTGACAGGTCCCAGTCACACAAGAAACGGAGGAGTAGAACACGTTCAAGGTCACGGGACCGCGAACGACGACGTTATCATGGGAGATCACGTGATAGATCCCGCGAGAAAAGTAGGTCACGAGATAGAAGCCGGTCACGCGATAGGAGCCGGTCACGTGACAGAAGTCGATCACGCAACAGAAGCAACTCGCGTGATAGAGATCGTCACGGTGGTCGTGGGCGTGACAGGCATAAGTATCACAGTCGAAGCAGAAGCCGAAGCCGGAGCCGAAGCCGTGACCGTGATCGTGATCGTGATCGTGATCGACGGGAGCGTGACAATGGGCGTGACAATATCAGCAAGGAGAAAAAAGCGTTACCCACCAAGACCCTTGGGTAAGCCACTTAATTCTGCGAAATCTCTCTTTGTCTTGTCGACTATCAACGTCTTTGAAATTGCGCTAAAATGTTCTCTCCTCAAGTGTAAAACTAATGTAGAGGGAAATATTTTAAAATCCTCTTGTAAGGCACAAATATTTGGCTAGTTTCAGCAGCCTTAAGCCCTGACTTTACTTGTATTTGTCAAACGTAGGTTGTTGAAAAACAAAGCAACGCCTTCGTCAGGCAGCAAAGAAAAGGTGCGTAATTGTTAATGAAGTTGATTGCAGGACATGGCGTATTTTATGTGGCCAAACCCAACGAACGAAAGAACCAATTACAACTTGAAACGCCGGGTCTACCTGGCTGAATTTGAAATCAACGCCGCCGCGAAAGGTTATGCGATAAACTAGGTTAGCTTAACGTCTTTTTAAACGTTTAAAACTGATTTTGCGAAATGTCGAAATAATTTTCCTTAGTTATGATAGGTCGATCTTATTGTGGTACTGTGTCTTTTGATGTTGTTTAACGTTTTACTATGCAGCTTACATTGCATTTGCATTGCATAATGGAATGCTCTTGCATTCACACTGCACGTTGCCTATTGTCTGGTACATTGCATTGCATGCTGTATTACAACCTGTTTTTGTGTTGCAACGTTGACCTTTATTCGCAGATGACCGCTCAGGAGAAGATGAAGAAACGAATGCAGATGATGCTCAACAAACAGTGTAAGGCCTTATAGTTATTACTGACATCGTAGTTTTTCGGTTTTTCAAACTAACTGCTGCAAGATGATTTTGAAGATTGCCTCTTTCATTTGTTTGTTTGTTTGTTTGTTCTTTCTGATTTCAGTGAAAACAGACAGAAAGGAGGACAGAAGAAAACGAGAAGTAAAAGAACAAGAAAGAAGGGTAAGAATCGTTATTTTCCTTTAAGAGAGATATGATTAGTGATATTTGGCGTATCATCACCAGGGCCTCTCGTCTTCTAGAAAACGCTAAGAATGAAAGACCCTGGAAACAAGATTGACGGAGAAGGTGTTGAGGGAAGGTGTTGTAAGAGGAAACTGTTGATTCTGATAAGTTACTATTCGCCTTTTTGGAAACGAGAGGGGAACTGGGGCCGAAATACGTCTCGCAATTGTTTCTGGGATGGTTACTGGGAACGCGCCGGTCAGCTATTGGCCAATTTTCTTCTTGTCTCTAGTATTAATCCCAGAAGTCTTCGCGAAGGTTAACTCGACCCAGTTTCCGTCTTGTTTCTTTAGTGGTGAATTTTAACTGTGGTGCATGCTATATTCTGTGCTCGTTTGGTAAAAATTGCTGAAGTTTTTTGCTGCTTTTAAACTTACAGGAACGAGAGGATGACTTACGTGAGATGCAGCGAAAATGGCGCGAACGGTAAGGCGAACGCAAACGGATTCGATTCTTCTTGAACGCTGTAATTGAGAACATTTTGGCAAGTGTTTGTCACTTTGTTCATTTCCCGAAGTTACCTCGTTACTTAAAAAGAGTCACTCTCACTGTTATCTTTTGCAGAGATAGAGACAGGAGAAGTAGATCTTTATCTCCACGAGGTAAATAAAACGTTGATTGTAATGCACAGCATGACCGTCACGTTCTATACTTGGCTTGGTGCTTGAATCCACAGACACCGACCTAGATACCCTTACTCAGTGAAATACCAATATCTATATTTAGGTCGATGGGATTCTCAAGAAGTAATTATTCCAGTCTTATAGAAGACGTACCTGAATTTTTTTCCACAAAAAATCAGAACCGTCATTGACTGAAAAAATTCCAATTGACCAATGATATGCGTTTCTTTTCTTTTATCTTTTACGATGGCTTTTGGTAGACAAGCTTAACTAGCGAGCAAATACGACCAGAATCCTTTTTGCGAATGACCATATTATGACGACTTCAACGTAGACCTTATCAAAACCGACGACTAAGGACTTCAAAGTAGATGTAACTTGTTTAATAAATTTTTGCTTTTTTAGCGAATAATGACGCCGGACAGGGTATCACTTTAAACTTGAAATTATGTTCTCTACATAAAATTGTTATTACGTCTAGTTTTTCTTTCTTTTCCACTTCACCCTCTGCCTCGATTAGCTTAAGTTAACTACGGATTGCGTGAAATATTTCCTTTTTCCTTTTCACTCTGCTTTTATTTCTTGTAATCTGTTTGTTTTGCGATAAAGTTGATCAAAAGTAGGTTGAGTTTGATCGTCCGGGTGAACGTAGTCCTAAATAGGACTGTTGTTGTTGACAGTGACTGACGTTTCGACAACCTGTGCGGTAGTCATCTTCAGAGTCAAAGTGAGTTGTATCACGACTACAGCACAGGTTGTCGAAACGTCAGTCACTGTCAACAACAGCAGTCCTATTCAGGACTACGTTCACCCGGACGATCAAACTCAACCTACTTTTGAAATGACTCCTGGGTTCAAACCTTTCACAATAAAGTTGATGTTGTTGTTGTTGTAACGTTTGTGCCTGCGGTTCTTAGTAATAAAATCGACCTCAAAGTGTCAAGGATCATGTACTTTTGTGGACTATTTGTGTTATATCTCGAAGCTTTTACTTGAAAAATTTAGCACCACTGTAAGAAGAATCTGCCCGAAAATGACAGCTCATAAAGGCAACTGCTTTCTTTTGTTTGCAGGACATCGAAGAAGTGTATCTAGATCGCCCCCTAGGAGGTATGAAACCTTTTTAACCGGCTTATATCAGCCAGAAACGGCGAGCTGTTTGTTTGGTTGAAAATCCTCAAATTTCACGGACTTGAGCGGTGAAAGTCGAGCCAAAGTCAGATATTACTCTGTCCAATTACAATTCGACTAGACGAACAAAGGAACCAATCACAGCTTGAAGCCAGTACATGTAGCTGATACCATATGCCAATGCGCGGGAAAACCCGTCGGTGTTGGGTTCTACACTTCTATTTCTGATTGGTTAAGAAAGTGGCGTGAGTGTTTTCAGCCAACTTGTTTTCAGCCAACTTGTTGTATTGTATCTTGTTGTGTTGTTTCACGTGTGACTTACCATGCAGTTTCTCCCTCCATCTTCTTTTTGCAGAAGACACAGAAGTAGGTCGCGATCAACTTCTCCAACGGATTCTCAAAAAAGTAGGTCTGCCCCCCCCCCCCAGAAATAAGCCCCCTCTAGTTTGTACTGAAATACTTGATTTATTATGAAGTTTTGAAGCTTAATAGAAAACCAATACTGAATACAAAGGATATTTTAAAGAGCACTACTATATCTTGTTTTGAAGCTCTTATATCCCCCCTGGGATATAAGCTCCTCCTTTTATAAGCCCTCGTAAAACCCCTGATGAGCGGCAGTTTACGGTATGTCAGTAAACTCGGATAAAACCACTGAGTGATAGATGTGAACTTTTGCGGCTGAAAAGATGTGACCAATCGAAGTTGTTTAAAAAAGTCCATTTCCATTCGCAGGTCTTAATTTCAACCGTTTCAGTTGTTAATGTAGCAGAAGGCCTCTAAGAAAGCCGCCACGGTACACAGACTTAACTTGGTTTCGCATCCTCGCTCGCAAAGTCAGTTACAAAAACGCTGTCAAATACCGCAAGGCTAATCGTTTCTTCTATATAGGGTGCTCAATAGCAAAACAATGTAACACAATACACGCCTCCTATAAGTCACACTCGCGTAACGCTAGCATCTGACATGTCATGACTACTATAATAACTTAACCACAAGCAACACATTTATCGCTCACTGATATTTTGTTGCTCTCTTTTCCTAGTTCCCATTGTAGATATCGACGCGCATGCGCTGGGTGAGGACGTGGTAGAGTATGTCTATCCAGTCAAAGAGAATAAATGATGATGTCCAACAGTCTGCTAACTAACGTCGTTCACCTAGCTGAGTGAAGAAGGAGCCTTAACAGATCTTTAGGAGCCTCGATGCAAGACTTTTAATTAGGAGCTTCATTTCTCGATCCGTATTAGGAAATTTATAGTAACGCATACAGTGCCTCGCACATTGCCTCATACACGCGTGTACTAATTTTGTGCACGTACTCAGATCCCCCGGAAATCCAAGTACGAGACGAATGTTGTACGACATTGTTGTACAGCTGTAGGTGTTCGAGTGATTTTCTTTTAAGCAGCCAAAGTAATCAATCTCGCAGTGGTTTGCTTTAGCATTCTTGCCTTTTATCCTCTGCGAAAAGTTGCTTAGTACTCCGTGTACCATTCTTGATCCGGAAATTTTTTCGCAAGCCTTAGGATTCGAGAGGACTTTCAAAAACAACCGAAACACAAATAAGAGACAAACGTGACTTACACACACGCGTTTGGAGATTTACTTGGGTTTTTTGATTGATTGGTCTTGTTCTGATTGGATAAAGTATATTTTGCGAAACTCATTCTAAACCTTTCTATGCTGCGTGGTCAGTTTATTGCAGCCGTCTTTCTTCGGTTGTTGGTCGCCCCAGTTCATTCTCATCTGCATGCATACTGAGCGCTACGCAAGAATCCGATTACCACTTTGCCCACGTGGCTAACACCATTTCTTCTTTAGCGGCACGTGTTCAACTCTGCTATAAATCCTTAACCCTTTAGCAGTAGTCACGTGAAGAAAAAGAAAGGAACAAGACAAAATAAAAGAAAAATTGACCGCTCAAAGAATGTTCTTGCGCGCTCGAATTTCCCGTCTTCCTGTCGTTTTGGAACGGCTTGAACTCAGGCTTGGCTAGACCCGCAGAAAGATCTTCCTTCTCTATCTCCATGGTTACCCTCTGTACTTGGTTAGGTATTCAAGTAGTTAAAAAGCCAGTTTATTAGACGATTTTGATCGTTGTTTTTCCTTTAGATAATAAGATCTATTCGGATAATCGGAGGGTGTAAATAAATTGGCGGACAGATCGTGCCGTTTTCACCCCAAGATTTATTTTCTGATACATGTCAAATGAAACTGTCTGTGGTTACACTTTTAGAGCGGCGGTTTCTTTTTAATCAGGAATTAATTTTAGAGAATATTGTCTATGTCTAGACCTGTACGCCGCTTAACCAGACTGAGAATAAAATACAATTTATATATCTTTGTCATTCGCTCGTTTGGTGCTTGCAAAGTGACGTCACTTAAACTTGATTGTGTACAGTCTCTTTAGGGATCATTCGATCAAGGTCTCGGGATCATGTGCATCTGTGTACAAAAAATGATACTGTTGACTAAGATTGTGTTTGTTTTTCATATGTGTGACGAGTGAAACAAAAAAATCCCCTGTTTCAAGAACCAATGCGCTTCTTTTTGGCTCATTAATAACAATAGGTGACGTCAGCGTGACGTAACGTTATACTCCTAATATCCAATAAAAGAAGCGCTTACGTCCCCAAAGCAGTTCCCATAGTGCAATTCGAGACCGTGCCAATTCCACGCGCAACCTCAAAATGGCCAATCGGGCCTTTCTGAGTTCCAGAAATTCTCACTTTCAAGCATTCTGGCAGAAAAGGAACTCCTTTTGTATATTTTCCATTGACAAATGGTACCCCTTTCAGACACCTATAAGTTTTGAACTTTGCACCCCTTTAACTGCCTTGAATGCACTGTCTTTAAGATTTGATAAAACCTCAAACCAGTACGTTTTCTCGACCTTTTTACAGCGATAAAATCCTTCTGTTGGTCCTTTTAGGTCTTTTTACAGATCAAACTGACACAGATTTCCCTACCCTTTTCATATACTTCAACTAGTGAAATCCCTACCCTTTCATATACCTGAAGCCTGAAAATGGTACCCCTTTCTGGCGGAGCCGGCTCCCCTTGTAGGTCATTATAGGGAGTTCCCCTCCGGGTTTTGAAAAGCGCTGTGACATGATGCATGTTAATTTATCGTTTCTTACCTCCTGTACCCTAAAGTGATGCTACATTCATCATCTAAAAAAAAAGCAAAATTCAAGAAGTCCCAAACTGTTATTTCCAAAACAAAAGCAAACAAACACTGAACAGACAGACAAAGAAATTGAAAACTGAGTAATTTAGAAAATTATTGCTGAAAGCCGGACTTCCTGGCCACTGAAGAAGTAAAAAAACAAACCTTAACGTTTTCGTCATGTTTGCTGTCATCTTCAGCCGGGAAAACACTGTTATTAGGTCACGCACAGGGAGCTTTGGCAATGATGACGGCAAAGAGAAACGTTTAAATCAGTTTGAAATTGTGCAACTTGTTGGGGCAACAGAATCCTGTTAGTCCTGTTACAAAAAGACACAAAAATTCTACAGTTCCATCCAGGACAAGCAGGTTGTCGTTGTAAAGTGTCGAGCAACGGCCGTGTTGACGGACCTGAACACAAAGAGTGTACTGTCTAGGCGAGGTGTTGCAGCTACACGTCGCCTATTGTATTCCGACCTTTCAAGAAATTTCACGTGCGAAGTCGTGCAGTGACTGTACAGAAATGTGCAAAATAAGTGTGCTGCNTCAAGAAGTCCCAAACTGTTATTTCCAAAACAAAAACAAACAAACACTGAACAGACAGACAAAGAAATTGAAAACTGAGTAATTTAGAAAATTATTGCTGAAAGCCGGACTTCCTGGCCACTGAAGAAGTAAAAAAACAAACCTTAACGTTTTCGTCATGTTTGCTGTCATCTTCAGCCAGGAAAACACTGTTATTAGGTCACGCACAGGGAGCTTTGGCAATGATGACGGCAAAGAGAAACGTTTAAATCAGTTTGAAATTGTGCAACTTGTTGGGGCAACAGAATCCTGTTAGTCCTGTTACGAAGACACAAAAATTCTACAGTTCCATCCAGGACAAGCAGTTTGTCGTTGTAAAGTGTCGAGCATTACGGCCGCGTTGACGGACCTGAACACAAAGAGTGTACTGTCTAGGCGAGGTGTTGCAGCTACATGTCGCCTATTGTATTACGACCTTTCAAGAAATTTCACGTGCGAAGTCGTGCAGTGACTGTACAGAAATGTGCAAAATAAGTGTGCTGCACGTGCAGAGTCGTCAACCTGTTGTTGTTTTGCTCATCAAACCTCAAATTATTTATTGGGCGTTCTTGTTGCAGTCTCCTGATTGCAGTCGCTGTAATTGCTAGACTTTCCTACCGAATAGGGAGCTTAAGCAACGAAAGCAACTACGAGGTTAATGGCTACAAGAACGTCAAAAAAGAAACAGGTTAATACGCGAAATAACAACTCTACACGCGTAGTACACTTTTTTGAACATTTTTGTTTACAACATTCTTTGCAGTTTTGCACAACACCAACTTGAAACTACCTAATTTCATGTTTTACGGAGGACATGAACTCAAGACACGTTTTTTTTTTCTGTCTCTGAACTTAAATCAGTACAACCCTCTCGGCCCGGCTCCAGAAACCTCAGAAAAATTCTTCAGCATTTTATGTTTAATTTTCGTGTTTTTTATACAGATGAAAAATCTCTCATAGGTGAACCGCTGGCTGATATGATATGTTACGTCACGTGAGAGTGTCTTTTGGTCAGTTGCAACATACATTATGTAACCAACACACGGAAGAGAATTTCTAGCTTGAAACATGGTAAAGACAGAAACTATTATTTCCCGCTGGAGGGATTTCCTCTCAAATAACAATGTTTCGTGGCCAACCTACGTATTGATTTGCCTTTTTGGTCTGGGTTCTTGGGTGGCTGTGAACGGCTTATGGGTCGAACTTCCAGTTTTGGTCAAAGATTCTCCCGAGGGATGGAACCTTCCATCGTATCTGACGGTAATAATCCAGCTCGCTAATGTCGGCCCTTTGATTTACGCCATAGGTAATCATTTTGCTCCGAAGAAAGTTCACGAAAAAACTGCAATTCCGTTCATCGTTTCAGTCGGTGCGGTTGCTTGTGCTTTGCTTGGATTCTACTGGAACAAAACAAGCTACATCGGCGGCGATAAACACAGTACAGCTCTCTTTATCCTATCCTTTTTCTTGGCTATCGTCGACTGTACTTCCTCTGTGGTCTTTCTAACTTTTATGTCGTTATTCCCTTCGTTTTATTTGAGCGCTTTATTTGTCGGGGAAACATCAAGTGGTCTGCTACCCGCTTTTGTTGCCCTTGGTCAAGGTATAGGAAGCGGAAGCGGAAGCTACAACACGACGAATGCAACCAATTCCTCATCTCATCAGCACACTGCCAAAGATGATGGTTTGAGATTTGGTCCTGAAGGTTTTTTCTTTTTCTTGTTTTCAATCATGGTTGTTTGTGGTCTGGCATTTTTGGCATTGATTTATTTACCCGTGGCTAAAAGACAACACGTGATGAAAATCACCCTTACAAATGCACATACAAAAGAAAGTGATGATGAAACTCAGCCTCTCTGTGAGGATTTTCCTAAACCTGCTAGGTCTGGTCATGATCCAACTACAACTCAGGACTCTTACGTAAATCCTAAACATAGCAGCTGCCAGTCAGTTAGGGATGAAATGAACCTGAAAATCATTTTTCTCCTGTGTATTCAAGCATGGATCAATTGCCTGTCAAATGGTGTATTGCCGTCAATTCAAGCTTATGCTAGTGAGCCATATGGAGACAAGACCTATCATTTAGGTAAATTCCAGGTTTTGATTTTGTCTAGTGGATTCAGATGTTTTTCCAGAAACGTCTTTACCTTGCTGAGATGCCAAATTCATTTGCCGTAACTCCCACCCTGAGGGGTGTTGGGGTTTATAGCCCCCTCCCCTCCTCAGAATCACCAGTGACCTTGATCAGGGAGGAAGTAAGGAAACAGGCTATAGCATGGCTTATGAAGTACATTTTGCATGTACTGGCTTTTAATAAAAGCTCTGAAGGTCATAGGTGAAATCAAATTCATATAATCGGATCTATTTTTTGTTTACAGGTAGATGAGTTAATAACTGGGGGAGTTTATGATTGGTTCTGGGGAGGCTTATAAGTGGCAGTTTTTCTATGCCTTCAGTCCTTGACTACACTGCTTGAACATCATAACTTGGTACCTACTTTAGTTACTTTTGGGGAGCAAGCGATGGCGCAGTGATGAGAGAGCTGGCGCCATATACATGTGGGTTGAATTTGTTGTTGGTTTTCCTCCTTTGCTCCAAGAGGTTTCTCTCCAGGTACTCCGGTTTTCCCCTCTCTTCAAAAACCAACATTTCCAAATTCCAGTTTGACCAGGAATCAGGTAGACGAAGAACCACTTTGTGGATGTGCTACCTTCAAATCATTATTATTTATTTATTATTATTATTATTACTTGACATACTCCCCATCCTCCCCAAAAATGTGTTTTGGTATGCCATGCTAGAAAGCAAACGTCGCACTGGGAAGAGAAAAACAAGGAGCTCATATAATCTAAAATTGTTATCTGCTTTGGTTGTCTCCTCCCAATATGTCCCTTGTTCTCCAGCATGGCAGTTTTGTACCACCTGAATGACTTGCTGCAATAGGCATAATCTGTTGTTTCAACCTCTGCTGTTGATAAAACCAAGTTATTGTGTTTTACCAGAAACCGAGTGACACCTGTTTATTAACCTTCATCAACAGTTGCTACTTTGTCCAGTATTGCCAGTGCCCTGACTTGTTTTGCTGCATTATGGATCCCATGTTCTTCACCAACACTGGTGACCGTATTGGCCAGTATTTATACAGTTCTAAGTGGTTACATCCTCATACTTGCTTCGCTGAGCCCAACTCCTCCACTTTACAATTCAGATCTGGGAAGTGCACTTATAGTAAGTATGGATATTAATGTCTGTTTTGCTTAATTCTGGGAGGGGCTACCTTAGGAATTTTTGGATTAGGGTGGTGCCACTGGAACCCTGGAAAACTTTAATAGCCTATACCAGACCTAGTTCAGCTGAATTTTGCTACCTTTTACTAGACTTATATATATAACTGCCCAAATCTTTCCTGAGCCTAGAAGAGTCACTATTTTCCATCTATCAGTGCTTTCTTTGCTATTGTATTAAACTGAGTTAAGTGTCAATTCCTGGTTTCCTCAGTCTAAACTAGAATCTTTAACCAGTTTCCTGGAAAATAATACCCTATTCAAGACCCAAACTGTCTGATTTGTATACCCTGTCCCAGACTAAACTGCTTGCCTTTGTGAAAACCATACCTTCTGAAGTGCTACATACCTATAAATCCCAAATATAGAAGTACACCCCCCCCCCCCCCCCCCCTTCCCAGACTAAACTGCTTGCCTTTGTGAAAACCATACCTTCTGAAGTGCTACATACCTATAAATCCCAAATATAGAAGTACACCCCCCCCCCTACTTGGGGGATTTTTAGTAACTCCTTGTCCACATTTGTAAATTTCCAATTGCCTTGCCTTTTGCCAGTTGGGACCCTATAGCTAATTAACCAATGTTATGTTTCATATTTTATTTGCTTGGAACAGAGGTCATTTTTGGTCCTGTTTTAAAAAATGTCTTTCGCTCTTTTCTTCTGGCAGATTTTCGTCAGCATCATAAGTGGTATTCTAATCAGCTTTACCAAACTGTCCATTTGTACAATGTTTTAAAAAATGTCCTTTGCTCTTTTCTTCTGGCAGATTTTCATCAGCATCATAAGTGGTATTCTAATCAGCTTTACCAAACTGTCCATTTGTACAATAATGCGCAACCATGGTTACCGAGCATTGTTCTGGTGTGGCGTCAGTATACAGACAGGCTCCTTTATCGGGGCAATAGTCATGTTTCCACTCGTTAATATTTTAAAGGTTTTTCACCAGGCAAAAAGTTAATATTAGCTGACATCAGAATTATGGTAAAAAATTATGAACCTCTGATTATTAGACCACAGCACTATTCGGCACACTTGATCTCAAATATTTGAATCTAATTGCATTATCCACAAAAAATTTCATCTTCAATAATAATAAAAAATGCATTATCTGAACAAAATAACAAAGAAATAACTATGAGGTTAGTTTGGTTTTAAATTGGCAACATCATGTAGAACTCCTGAAACTTCTTACGATGGTGTGAAACTAAATGTAAGAACAGTAATGTTCTAAGTGAAATACCGTAAAATTCCGAAAATAAGCCCCTCCAAATATAAGCCCCCCAAACTCGTAATGCAAAAACCCTCCGTTAAATCGCCCCTCCAAATATAAGCCCCACAGGGGCTTGTACTTGGAATTTGCCCTCGAATACAAAGTAAAACAAAGCAAAAACGGTAAATTTACTTCCAACTATAAGGCTAGCCCAATCTATTTTGAAACGCAAATTTCCCTCCATAGATAAGCTCCTCCGAATATAAGCCCCTCCAAAAATAAGCCCCTCAAAAAGGGCCTTTGAAAAATATAAGCCCGGGGGCTTATTTTCAGAATTTTATGGTTTACTCTGGAATAGCATGATTTGCTACATAACAGACCTTTTTTTGTCACAATTTTATGTGGCCTCCTGCATTATTCCTGCTTAATTAACCAATATTTTCTGCACCCTATCAGAAGGCCTGAAATATTACTGCAGTTATCTTTATATTGACAACAACCAGGGGCATTTTTCAATCTGTATTAATTTGTAGCTTGATTGGCTCAATATTGAATGTAAAAATTGTGAAAAATCTTCTTAGATGTGCATCAGATCTTTGGTCTATGACTTGGGTGGCTCATTTGGCTTTGGATAAGGTGCAAGCTGGTATCTTTCTTGGGTGATTACAAGACAAAACAAGGTGATTACAACTTCAAAACAATACACTTAGTGTACATAAAATGTTTTGTAGTTTAGATCAGTGGAAGTGAAACATGTTTGTGTCAAACGTTACTATGTTTCCCTTTCTGTGGCTGATGATGTCTTTTTTAGTCATTCATTTCAAAATGTGTGATACAACTGTAGGTGCATATGAAACAATTGAAAAAATTTAAATAATAATAATAATAAATCATCATCATCATCATGATAATGAAAGTACCATGGAAACTCTATAACAAAGGGCGCAGGGACTGCCAAATTTGTTCACTATAACGAGGTTACTTTTCATATACTTTACTATTACTGGGGTAAGGAAAATCATCTGTTAAACCGAGGACTTTGTTATATAGAGGTTCGTTATATCAAGGTTCCACTGTAGCAATAATAATGATAATAAACAATTATTGTTATTGTTCCAAAAAGACAGGAGAACTATCAGAGATTTTTTTTCTGAATAAAACAACAACAACTGGAACTTTTTGTTTACTTTTTCTTTGATAAATTTCATGCTATATTTACAACAGTAACCCAGTACAAACAAGTCACACTGTTGATGTCTCAGTGCTACCCACAATTTCACCTTAACCCTTTAAGCCCCAAAATCCACATGCAATCCACATGAGAATTTGATCAAAGATCATAGCATTTCCTTGGTGACTACTGTATCAATTCTCCTAACCTTTTTGTCTTAACGATGTATGGAAAATGTTAGGAGAAAATTTCTGTTGGTCACTATTGGAACTTGAAGGGTTTTAACGTTGAAAAATGTTCATACATGTAATAATTTATAATCTACAAAACTTTGTTCAAATGTTCAAAACAGCTGTATGACCACACCGTTGAAAAATTGATGACATTAGGATACAATTAAATCCTTTTGCAAAAAATCTACTCCTTGACTGAGATTTTTTAACAGATCTGGTAGGAAACTGAAGTGTGGAAGAATTGGCCTGATTGCAATTCATGGGGGTACCTTCAACGTAAAGAGCAAAATAAATGTATAATGAGACGTCAATAAAACAAACCCCTATATAACATTCTTTGCTCCAGTCAGAGGAAAAGATTTGGAACAGGACCCTAGTTAGGGCTTAAACCGTACAGTGAAGGCATTGGTGATCCATGATATTTCTTCCCATGACACATAAATATCAATACTCTGAACAAGAGTGTCACTGTCAACATTACACTACTCTAACAAAAAAATATGCTACGTTAACAATTTGTGAATTCACTGTTGTCAACATTTCTAGTGCATCAAGCTCTGCATTTTCACCTTAAGGGGGGTGAATAGGGGTATGCAAATCCACCCTTCAGTTTTTGCCCTGAATCCGAAATCCGGGCAAAAAAAATAGATGAATCTGCAATCCGAAATCCAGGCAAAAATATTTTCAAAATCTGCCGATCCGTTCGCCTATTCACCCCCCTCATCCTTGTAAGGAAATAATATGAAAGCAAACAATCCCTGCTTCTTGTGTTATTCAAAGTGACAAACAAGTGCATTGGCACTTACTTTGTGGCATGCCAGCTGTACAGTCCTTGTGGTAAAGCAAAATGCGATTGCCATTCCTTTGCCAAAAAACATTGATAAACACTTAATGACTGGTCCCGAGGGAAACATTTAATTTTGTTTCCTGGGATCTACCTCGGGAAAGGGATCAGTCATTTGTTTTATAGCTGAAAATTTTGAAGCTGGAAATTCATTAAACCCCATTGCAACAACGGTTGTTGGTCAACATTCGGACATCATAGATTTTGCAATGTTGCCTGCTCAGATATTTTGGTGGGAAACAGATTCATTGTTAGATGTCATGTGACCTCCAAGTAACCAATGAGGCATCATATTGTGTATCGTATTGTGGCCCTTGTACTCAATCTGTTCTCTTGTTAATGCAAAGTTAAACATATTTTTCCTGTCCCTTGACACATTGTTATATCAACATTTCCTTGTGAAGTGTTTGTAGGCTTTGCTTACATTTTTCAGGCCCTCAATATTTCCATGAATCGTAATTTTTTGTATCCTTTTTTCTAAAGTGGTCAATTTTAAAAAGTATTTCACAAGCTATTGAAAAACTGGAAAATAGATTAGAGTCATTTAAATTGTAAGACAATTAAAATTATTTTTATGCAAGTCTCTAAAGTCCATTATATGCCTTCTGGTGAGATTGTTGCTTCAAGATAGTCTTGAGAGCTGAAACAAAATGCAGATAACAACAACATTAATGACTTAATTTAGCAATTCAACTTCAATGATTACTGTATTTTCTTTTCTTCAGTATAATTCTCTTTCTTTACTTGGTAGTAAAAAGCTGAGCTGTGCTACTTGAGTTTTGGACAATGAAAATCTTTGGCCAACTTATTTCTTCCAATTACCTTGACATTTCTTAAACTTTGTTCTGCTGTAGTTTCTTAGGAAGAAAGTAATTTTTTTATTAACTGTTTTACTAACTATAAAAATACATTGGATATGAAAAATACCAGTAATGAGTCTAGTGAACAGTGTTCAACACTCGCTCTGTTTAGTCTATAGTTTTCCTTCTCATGTTTTTAATTTATGTTTAGTAATAAATGTAAATGCAGACCATTCTGACATAGTAACCCAAAAAATATGGTGGGACATACCTTCTTTCTCACTGTCTTCGAGGCCTCCTCTTGGAAATTCAACATCAAATGTAATATAAAGATCACCCTTAGCGTTGTTGTTATCATAGTTTGGCATTCCTTCATCTTTCTTTTTAATACGAGCTCCTGGCCAAGTTATTTTTTCTCGCACTAAGTGTACCTGACAGGAAATTAAATAATAATAACAATAATAAATAACAAAAATAATCATTTAAAGGTACTACATAAATGACCTTTGTAGTGGTTCTTTGTTGACCATTGTGGATCAAATTGGAACTTGAAAATGTTGGTTTTTGAGGAAAGGGGAAACTGGAGAACCCAAAGAAAAGTCTCTTGGGGGCAAATTTAATGCAAGAACCAACAGTCTATATTCTCAACCTACATATGGCATCACCAGTAGGATTTTACTGGTAGGCAACTGCCCTCTCCGCTGCACCATTTGAACTCAAACTTCAATCATAATCACGTTAAGGGTTAAAGTGGTTGTATTATTACAGGGCTGTCATTAAGAGGTGGGGGCCGGAGATTTTCCCGGCTACTATGAATGTGGCCTCCAGCTACTTTCAAAGGAAAATAGAAGAAAAGTAGAACCAAAAGAAGCCCTTAGCTGTTTGATTCCCTGTCTACTTTTTGTATTTATCCGGCAACTTAAAATCTTAGTGACGACCCTGTATTAGCAACAAGATTTCAAGGCCTCAAGCCTAAGAAACAAGACTGAAAGGATATGTGGGTAGCTGGAAATCATTTTCAATTTTGAAGTCAAACCTTCTTCTTGGTTGTTTAGTGCCATAGGATAGTTTGAAACATACCAAACATTAAACTTTTGTGATTTTATGAAAGAAGAATAATACATTGCTTTAAGGCTGTGTTTGGTAAAGTATTCAAAAAAGTTATCCAATGATTCAAAATATCATTAATAATTCAGAAAGAAAAAACAAAAGAAATTTATGTTTAATGAGGGTCGTTATATGCCTGTATCTTTAAGAAAACTTTTAAAAAATGCCTTTAAGAGGAAAATAAAACAAACACTTTTTGAGTTCCTAGCTTCAGAAGACTGTTATATTGATCTCCCAGAAATCATTCAAAAAGTTAAGTTGAATTTATTTTCGCCTTGGTTAGTATGTAATCATTAATATTGTTTAGTGTATCAGTAGTCTCTTGTCGTAACTGTTGTCATTTATTATTAAAAATACTGTTAGTTTATCAGTAGTCTCGAGTCATTGTCGTCAATTTTAGTTCCTTTAGTTCTGTTGTTACTTTTAGTTGTATTTATTTCCTGTAAAACATGACCTGCCTAGATTAGCTTAGCTACCAGTGGGCATGTCATAATTGTACTCTTACCTCGAAACACAATAGAAAATGTACGTGTCTATGTATGTATGTACGTGATAAAGACATGGCTAAACTTAACGTCCAATTTTTTAGAGCA